CAGCCTGTATCAAACTTGTTCCTCCTAGGCACAAACGTTCATGCCCCTGGGAAACCAATGTTCAATAATAATCAGTAATATTGGTTCGGCTTCTGAATGTTTGCTTATTATTATTATTGTAAAATGTTATAATAAAATTGTATTTATTTGCGAACAGGTCTATATCCATGCATTTTCAACTAAAACCCTGACTTTCAGAGCACTTGCCAAACGTATCTGTAAAACAGCTGATCTACATGCTTGTGCATTACAATGGACCCACATGAACATGCCACCTAAATGCTAATCGATCCCTGTACTGGCAGGACAGCAAACAGGTTTAACTGACCGATGTTGTTATGTAATTGTAGGCAGCACCGCCCTTGTGTGAAAGAGGTTTCTCTCATCACTCCGCCTTCACCCCACATGGATGTTCAATCACCAAGGAACTAACCGAATGTCCCAATGTATGACCCCCCCCCCCCCCCCCAATGACCAAAAAAACCTCCCCAGTTTGGACTCAGAGATGATTTCCTTGTTTAATAAAAAGGACAACTTATTTATTTATAAAATTATGGGTACATCCTGTCCTGGCACATTCGATCTGAAATCACGCACACATTGCTTCCATCTGGCAGTCGCAGAGGAGTAACATCAAAACACGCAAAACTCTTTAAAAGTAAAAAAAACTTGTAAAAGATTATACCCGAGCAGATCTCAGAAAACCCACGGCGTTCAATAAGAGGACGAGACCCCTTACATGTGCGGTGCAGTTGGGGAGCGCAGATCTTAGATGATCCAGAGACATCCGCACGGCTTGATTAAACCATAATGTGGCGGCGTGTGATTTTATTTTCCTGTGTAATTTATAGCTCCAATAAGCGAGTCATCGCTTGGACGTGGTGGTAGTGGTGGCGGGGGAGGGTCGCCTTGCGTTTCCAGGGAGACGTCAGACACAAACATGCGCAGAGGGGCTGATCTGTTTGGAAATTAAATACGGGACGGAGAAGACTCCTCCGACTCCGACGCTCGTACCACAGTGACAGCGGCGAAGCCTCAAGGGAGCAAGGCGTCTCATCTTCGCCGCTGGGCCTACACATCCCTTCCGGCCCTGTCAGAGAGCGCTCGGAGGAGCGGAGGAGCTGACAGATGAGCGCTCAAATCTTGCGCGTTCATCTCAAGCGTCGAGTTCGGCGAAGGCGGCTCCCTCGTGTCCCCCTTTGTAGGAAAAGACAATTATGAAATCCCTAACAAATCAGCCACTTCAGCTTGCACGATGTTGAAAGTGGCATTACTTGAAAACTAGATTCTGTTTCTGTGCTTAGTAACAGCTTACGAGTGTCAACTCTGTTTACACAAACATTATTACGTAACGCAACAGAGCGTTTGTGTATACAGGGCAGTATAAACACGCATTTTTTTTCTCAAAATCCACCGCCGCATCGCTTTGGCTCGAGGTTCCAGCACCATTGGTAACACGTTCGAACGCTTAATTCCATAGAATTTCCAACTTGCCACAATAGGTTGCATTTCTTTGATGGGAGGTTCCGACGGTACTGTGCTCTCTCTGTAGCGCTTTTAATCGAAAAGCAAACATGAGAAGCTCTGATGATGGTGGTGGCAGGTTTGTTTGTGTGTGTGTGTGTTCGTGTCTCCCTCGGGAAGGGTTCCCGTCGAACACCAGAATTCCGGCGAACATCGATTATGGCCGAACCCCGGTCCGCTTGCCGCTTGCCATTGTGCTGCCAAACATTAATGCTCCGAGTTATACGACTCCGACTGGGCGAACCACGTGTTTGTTTTACGATAACGTCGGCAAAGCCAATGCGCAGAGTGGTCTGCCTGGACTTGGCTCATTACGTGTTGTGTATTTCCGTGCCACAGTGTAGCGTCAACGCGGTAATACGGCGTGTAATTTCAAATTCTGGCACGTTTTTTTTTTCCCCTTCAGATATATGTTTTTTTTATTGCCAGCCTTTAGGGCTCGAGATTGTGCACGGAGTTGGATGCTGACGCTTTAACGCGTGCGGCAGCTCGCGGTCTGCGAACAGACGAGGCAGTAACTTCTACGTGTGCTGTGTTCTAGACGCACAACACACACGACAACAACTATCCCTGGCGGCCCACAAGTCCGCTCCGATGAGCCGATTGGAAACTGTAGAGTGCTACAGAACATTAGCAGGAACATTGTGTCATGGGCCAAAACGGAAAATCAGCCAGGCTAATAGATGTTGCATGTTTTACCATAAAATAATTATTTACCCAGAGCAGCCTCCAGAACTCTTTTCGTTTCTGGAGAGCCAACTGCGAGACTTTTTTTTTGTGAGCTCATTACCGAATATTTCTGCCTATGGGAAGAAACGTGAGCATACATATAAGGATATACTTTTTTAAAATGTCCACTTACAAGCTATCAACAACCTATTTTCTGGGCTACCTCTCACAGGTAACGTATACATGGTGATTAATGAGACAATGTAATTATTTTAGAAATTAGACGTATATGTACTCATGAGAATGTAATTCACGTGTTGGAAGTGGGGAGTGGTGACAACGTGGTTAGTGCAATACGGTTATGAACCCCATTATCCAAAGTTCGATTCCTGGCTACTGCTAGCATCAGTGGCACTTAATATTTGAACCGTTCCTGGGTCACTAACCCGCACTGACCAGCGTGGTTTATAGCATGGCCCAACAACCCACATGCATGAGCGACACTTGCGCGGAGGGGAAGCCTTCATCCAGCAGCGGATTGAAAGAAAGAGCTGTAAAGTATTATGATTGTACAGTGAAGAACACTGCTAAAACACTGCCTTTTGTCCATAGCTAGCGAAAAAATAACACTAAAAGAAACTGAAAGCGTTTAATCGTAATTGCTGTAAGTTAATATCGGCACATAATACAGCCTTCCAAGCCAAGATTAGTCCCTTATTTTTCAAGCTGTAAAAGCCATTTTAAAGCCGAGGGCAGATTAGCCTTTTTAATTTGAAGTAACGTGGAAATTCAAGACACAATTTGGCAAGATTTATAGCGGGCTTATGAAACGTAAAAGGCAGAATCGCTTAGAGACTCATGATAAATGCTGTAAACATGGGTTCTGGGAACCAGCCTCGTTTGAAAACATATTAAAATGAATTACAGTGATAAATGACAACCCCTTGTCATTCCACTGCTACATGAAATCCTCCCCATGTGTGTTGGTCAAGGGGGTTGTTTGGCTATTGGTCACTGCGCTGCTGGTCAGTGCAGCTTGGTAAGGCGGGGGGGGGGGCATGTAACATTCCAAAGTTGGAAAAAAATAAGAGTTTGAATGATTGCGTGTGTTACCTACTGTGGCAAATCGATCCGAAACATAGACATTGACAAAGCTGGAACAAGCTGAGAAATGTGCAAAGAAGCGTGCGGAGAGGTTCGTGTTTGAAATAACACCGAGAGATGGAAAGAGGACCACTCGGGCAGCAGGGTGTCACAGGGCCTAGGTTGGATTCCACTCGTGGGTGCCATACGTGGAGTTTGTATGGCCTCGTCTTGTTCTGCTTGGGTTTCCTTAGGGTTCTCTGGTTTCCTCCCTTTACAGTAGAGATAGAACCAACTTTATACCAAACTGGCATTGGCCAAACATCACAATGCAACAGCGATTGCATACAAATGACTCAAATTGTGATTGTCACGAAGCAGAAACATTGCCTCCTGCGACAGCTTGCTTGGCAAGACGCTCATGACAAAGAGTATTGAGACTCGGTGACGCTTTCCTGAGTAAGCAATCGTAGTAGGAATAATAATGACATTGGTCAGAGAACACCCACAAATTAGAGACGTTGAATTGTCCGTCAAGAAAAGTGGAATATAGGAAGGCATCGTGGCATGTTAGTTTGTTGTCCTTCCCTACACCTCCGATAAGTACGGTTGGCTACGTACGGTGCAAAAGAAGTCCAACATACATATAGACAATACACACTATATACTACACCACTGTACCAAGTTGCAAACTAATTTCTTTAGAACCTGCTTTTTTGTGTTCAGTTTGTTGTCCTTCCACCGCAACCTCCGGTTAGCGCGGTTGACAACGTACGGTGCGAAAGAAGTTCATAGGCACTGCGCCATACAACACAGAGGCAACAGCGCGGGTCGAGGTTCGAAATGACCGATCGCTGGCCACCGGAACACGCCCTGGGTGGGAGGAAGGGGGGTCACGGTCACCAGAGGAAGTCAGCTCACCCCACACATTCTTCTCAAATTCACGTTGTTTATGCCGGTAAAAAAAAACAACTTTGAACGTAAAATAAAAACAAAACGAATTCCACCCTTAAGACAAATATCACCGAATCACCATCGTCATCGTTTCCCCCAACCTCGTAAGCTTAAACGTAACTTCCACAAATCGAAATGTTTGGCTAATTAATGCATTCAAGGAGCAGAGAGTGAGAGTGTATTCGTCGCACAGGCGGAGGGAGTGACTTCTCGTAATTCTGAGTTGGACTCGCAGTTGTGGGCGTGGGAACAAAAGAGACGGAAGGGATTTAAACTTCCCTCGCAGCTAATGAACAGTGACGGGGGGGGTAGGAGGAGGAATCGGTTCCTGCTCAATTAAGTCACAGTCCCTTCGGCTATTCAACATGCGCCTTCCCTGGCTAGTTCATCAGCAGCAGCAATTATCCATCTACTGCTGGATGAAGGTTTCCCCAAGCCGTCGTGATCTCTCACAGTAATCCGGTGAGCATCCGCGCAAAAGCCGAGTTCATCAGTCCACTTGGATCCTCTTGGACGTGCTCCCTCCATTGGCTCTCCTTTAAACCTCTCGACCACTGGACCATCTGACCACGTCTATCGATGTATCCTGTCCAAGCCCACTTACTTTTCTCCACCGTCAATACGATATGGCTGCTTGCTCCCAACCTCCCATATTCGGAATTATCTCCACGTGCTGCTCCGTTGGTACGTGGCTCGGTGGCTGTGGGAGTCTCTGGGGCTCAGTGAGTCAGTGACACACGCGTCTGTGTGTGTGTACGTGTTGTACTCACAGGATGGTGGTGCGTGGGTCCACACGGGGCACCGTGTCCAGTTGGAGGTGCATGCACCTCACTGTGGTGCGAAAGCACAGGCAGCGGCTGGGGCACGCGACAGCCGCTGGAGACCATCCGAGCAGCAGCACCATCACCAGCACCGCCGTCATCATCTTCATCATCCCCGCCATCATCATCCGCTGATGTCCCTACACCGGCTCCACTCACTCGAGCTGCCACACTCTCTCTCCTTTCTCTGCCCTTGCCAACACAAATCCCCAGTTAATCCATCCACGTGACGAGGCAGGGGTGCAATGATATGCGCAGGTGAGCGATACCTGGGTTGCGTGGCACACGGCGAGACACGTGCGAGCCCACGGCTGGTGGTGCTGGTGGTTTAGTCGTGGTGCGTTTGCAGGAAGAGTGAATTTGCCGATTGCGGAGGCTGCCCAAGCAGCCGCGGGTAACCACTCAGTAGAGGCACTCCCCACCCCCCAAATCATTCCCTCCTTCATCCCTGCCCTGCCTCCCATCCTTTCTTCCCTCCCCGTGGCCTTGAGGAGGAGGCGTTCCCCATCAGTGCTGGTGTTGAGTGCGGGGGTGGCTATTCGCGCAGCCTGTAGTGCAATACCACGACCATTGATACACGTGCAAAGACAGACCACGTGTTACAACAAAGACTCAAGCACGTGTTGTCGACCAACGAGGTGGCTCTCGCACGACCACGTTCCCTTGTTGATGTACATGAATAGAGAATGCAAACCTTTGTTTTTTTTCCACTGCTGAATGAAAGCCATACCTCGCCAAGCTTGTCAGTGCGGGTCCAGGACCGATTCAGATATCACTCACCGCTGGTGTTAGCCGTGTATGGGGAGTCTAATTTGGGTAGCCGCGTTCGTAGCGAATTACACGAACCACGACGCTACAACCCCCCCGTATCGTGAATGAATATTCGTTCGCATAGCGCGTGTTATAAACACAATACAGCACGTGTATGCAGGCTCGGAGCGCAGTTGATAATGACCTTTGTATAAGATTAGGCTAAATGCATGACAGTAATGCCCTTTTGATCGTGGAAAGCCTGACTCATTTTGAAGACTCTTTCAAGCGGGTACTGTATTCAGATTATTTTTGGCTAAACCATTCATGAGTGCCATTATCGCCTGTTGTTTTTACGATTTATTGCAAAACTACGGTGTATGGTATAATCCATGCGTGTGTGTGTATGCACGACTATGTATATACTATATACCGCACTACACTGCATGTGTATGTTGTCTCCACAAATCTGGCTCTCGCCTGATGATGCTAGTTGTAATTACTGGCGAAACGTCGTACTCAAGACTGTAAATGTTGTGGATTTGCTCTCCAACACACCGGTGTGCTGTACTCGTGACGAATTGGCATGTTCTGTTTCAGTGACAAACCTTACTGATTGGCTGTGTCCGGTGGTGGCGGGCTTAATGACACATTTATATATTTACGCGATCTCACCCAAAAACACCGATATTATGGATATTGGTCGCGCAAGCCTACGTGTTAAAATGCCGCATATTGTCTGTATGATGCACTTCTTTCGCACCGCACGACGGCAACCGTGCAACGTGTCGACATCACACCAAATCATCCGAAGCGCATCCCACCTCGTCGGGTCTCGGAAGCTAAGCAGGGTCGAGCCTGGAGAGTGCCAGGAAGGGATGGGTGAGCACCGTGAACCGCCGAACACGTGTTGTCGTCTGCTGCGGGTTCTACGTGATGGGCAGTACAGCAAGATGGAGTATTGCACCGTACGATGTTCCAATTCTGAGCTCCCCCGCCTTCACCAAACACGCACCGAATGGCATCGTGAAGTCTTGGTCTCACGATCCCTCCCCATGACACCCGTACGGCGTGGGGAGGTCCCCGTCCAGCAGTCGACGAACAAACGACTGAACATGTCCACAACAAATATACACGTGGCAGTGTCGTTCTCTTACGTAATTGTTTTACACCTTCCTTGTTAAAATAACACGCGAATGAGTCTATACACATTTACGCAGTAATTTTATATACAAAAATACAGTACATAGATACCCATGCGACAAGTATCAATTTTACACGCTATGTTCCCGAAGATGTGGTATTTATGAAAACGGAGACAAACACGCCTCTGTCAATGCTCTTAAAATTCCCCGTATTTGTTGAGTATTTACCACTACCCCCTCCGAGTTATTTAAATTCGACAAAGGATGGCATTGTGCAGTCTTGATACGGGCAGAAGTGCAGAATTTGCCAACGTGTGCAGTTATTCATGGAATTTTGAGATGACTTCTACAGTAAATTGGGTGGAGTTGATTCTGTAAAGGAGTGTTCGTGCAATTGGATCGTTTGGAGGAATATCTGGCCAGGTACTTGAGTGGGTATGCGTGTGCCAAGAAAATTGTAGTGCCCGGAGAAAGCTCACACACGTGCGAGGGGGTACCGCACATCACAACCTACTTCCTGTGCTGTTTTCGACGAGAATATGTTCTGGTATCATTCATGTACACGGCCAATACTTGTGACACTCCACTTCTGGATGAGGGCCTCCCAACGCCTTGCGGGTCGCGTGGGTTTGTTTGACCATACTTCACCACAATTATCATTGCGGGTGTAAGAGACATTGGGAGCGTTTTACATCGATGGATATTGCCGCAACATCCCTCTGCTGCCCAGAAAGATACTAGATTTTATTTTGCAACTATCGGCTTTTCATTAATTTTATTTTTAGATAACCGAGTGACTCGGATGTCAAGAGTGCTGAGCTGGCACGGCTGAGATTCTGGGTTCAAATGCAGATTTCAGGCGTCCGTGATTAAACCAGGTTCTCAAATGTAGTGGGTTTATTGCGTCTCAGATGTTTGGATCTTATTGTAGTCCTTTGCTGCCCACTACATAGTCACTGCGGTTATGCACGTTGGTCGCCCATCCAAATATTATGTAGCCACGTTATGGTTAAATCTGTGTAATGGACACCTATGCGTTGCATTTAAATTGTAGGGTCAAACCAGACTGACAACACTCAATTGTCTGTGGATTTAGTTTCGCGGTTAAAAAAAAAAATCTCTGAAATACAAATCCCGAAAAGCAAACAATTGACAATGTTCACAGGCTTCTCGCACGTGTTTAAGAGGCTAGCATGGATTTTTTTTTTGCTAAAGAGAGTGCCTCTAAAAGCTCTGGGTATAAACTGTTCTCACAGACGTTGCCTATCGTATTGTTTGTTATCCTTGTTGTTTTAGCGTGAGAGCCACTGACGGAGGCTTGAGGTGGGTGGGGGGGGGAACTCTTGTAGAAAAAAAACGCGGCATGGAATTTGGGATGAAAAGCACTGGTAAGGCACGGATAACGGAAGCACCTGCTCTTTAAATGCAGAACCCTAAGCTCTCCTGGTTTTCAAATATACGGCCCTTTGTCAGTCAAAGCACTGCCGGAAGAAGGCCCGACACTAGCCATGTCGGTTCATGGTCTTTGTTTGACCACAATTCGTAACGCTGGTCAGTGCGAGTTGGTACAAAAGTTTAATAACGTTTTTTTTTTAGTCAGTGCTCATTGCCACTATAATACACGGATCAACAGCATGGTGCGCACTCAGGACCAGCCACTTATGTTAGCCGTAGCCAGGAATCGAACTCGGGTGAGCTGGGTTACAAGCGCCGTTCTCTAACATCTGTGCCACCGCTCCAATCTTTACAAATCTACAACACACCTTAATTCATCATTAGACCTCCTTTGCCAGTGCCAAAATATAATAGGGTTTTTCCCTTTTTTCTGGCAACAAAACTGAAACCTTTTTACAAGGATTCATGTCTGCATTAACCACAATACCTGCAGTCAAAATGCAAACATAAAACATACTATGATAATATATGATGCATTGTCCTTGAAACTGATTGGTCCACACCATGCATATATTATCATAGTATGTTTTTTGTTTGCATTTTGACTGCAGGTATTCTGATTAATGCAGACATGAATCCTTGTAAAAAGGTCTCAGTTTTGTTGCCAGAAAAAAGGGGAAAAACCCTATTATAACACCTTAATTCATATTACATATTGATGAATACACACATCGTGTATATTTACATGGCACTACATTAGCATAACGCTATAAGTCAGCCCTAAATCATTCGTGTAATGAATAAACTGTGGTTTATCTGTGGACTCCTGTTTCCTACCAGACGACAAAACTAAATCACAAATCTATTTGGCCAAACGACCCAGCAGAGCCCTCATGAAAAGGATTATAACCAATTGAGGCTTTCTTTGGTAAACAAAAAAATGACATTACAATACCAAAGGGTGACCAAAGTTGAATTCCAGGCCACGGCTGACATGTGGTGACACCTCAACAAGTTGTGGGTCCCCCCTTCGCCAGCGTGAAGTATGGTCAAACAAACCCCATGACTCAAAAAGTGCACAGTGGCCTTCATCCAGCAGTGGAACTTTACACAGGCTCTCGTTAGCAGTTGCATTCGAAGTTAATGTCCGGTTATGCTAAATCGGTCAGTTCACGTTGCCCTGTTAACTTTTATGCCCATTTTGCAGTATATGAAGTTCAAACACTTGGCACTGCGTATACCTACCTACCTACAGTATTTATGTTTTTAAACGACAAGCATCACTCTCTAATCGAGTGGTTTCCAGCGTGTGGTCCGCAAGGCCGTGAGAAAAGGTCCGCAGAACCGTTGCAAAATTTTTTTTTTACAAAACGCCAGATTTTTGACCGCACGGTGATCCGAGAAAATGTTTCCGAGGATTCCGAGTGCGTGGCCAGCTGGTCCGCAAAGATTGAGAACCCACTCGTCTCGGGCGAAGCTACACTACCACCTACTGGACACGATGCAACATCATCATGAGCGTCGTGGAGAATTGTAATTACTAGCAGACGTCATAATTATACCTCCGTCTCTCCACATAAAACATTTTATTTTATATTACACTATCATCGGCCCCACTGCCTTTTAGGCGTGAGTAATTTCCCATAAGGCCGTGGGACTAATGGATTTGCGAAATACTGTAGTGTATTGATGTGGACACATATGAATGAGACGTATTGTCTGCCAAGCGATTGTATACGCATACAATATAAATGCAGCTCTTTGTTAATCCTCTGCTGGACGAAGGCCTCCCCACGCTATGCCGGTCATTGGTGTTGTTTGCCCATACATCACCTCAATGGTCAAAGTTGGTTCATGAAAAACCGAGAACCAGCCCAGATGGCACTCATCAAGTACGCTAGCAGTGGCCGGGAATCGAGGTTAGGTCGCCAGGTTCATAACGCAGTGGCGACCACCGCACCAGCTCTCCCCCAAGAGTGAATTCAGGAAACGGTAACATTAATTGACTGTATATTGCATCACCACGCAGCTCTATTCATTGAGCATTTGTTAGTGGAATGCTCAGACGAACTGGCGAGGGACTGTCCACGCAGGTCGTTCCATGCTCATCCGACAGTGGGCACATTTGACGCGTCTTTCGCACCGCGTTGTGCAAACAAGAAACATAATTCGTCGTCTCGGCCACCTGGGCCGGGCTGTGTGCGTGCAACTGCAAACACGCGCACCTGTAGACAGTTCCCCAGAGGTCACACACTGCCGTGTTGACAGCATTAGCACTTTTTCATAAACACATCTGTCAAGTGAATCCTGAATACCTAAAGCCACCAACACAAAGGAAATACTGGTTCTAGAGAGCGTGTGCTTTGCACACAGGCCACAGAAATATTTTAAAATATTTTTTTATTCACAGAAACAAAAGTAAACATTTCGAGTTGACAGGTAATAAAGGCAAAGACTTTCCCATTGGCAACTGTGCAATGATCGTTTACAGCTATCAGCACTCATATTAAAGCGATGTTTTCAAAAATGTCGTTTTGTAGTTTATACGTGGGTTTTGTTGACAAAAGCCAAATAAAACAGGGAAGGGCCCAATCTATAGAACTATTTCCAGCATAGGTGTTCATGTAATCAAGTTGAAACTTAAATGTAGTCCTTAACCTAACTAAAATAGATTTATGCAAAAACTGTACAAGAGCAACTTGTATATTAGTTTATACTTTTGTGATCAATGCAAACATGACACTAGCAATTCGATACAACCAATCGAAATTCGTGGTCTCCAGTTTTTTGTTAATTGTTCACAGAATTGTATAGTGATCGTTTTTAGAAAGTAAATTTGCCGCTTCATGCAATGTTGGCTTGAAGTAGTCGTTGCACAAACTTCTGCAGCCAATTCCAATTTTGTTTCAATACTCCTAAATTCCTCCATCGCCACCTTTACAAAAAAATACATGACCAAGCTGGTACAACCCAACATCAATCACCCCATAGTCTGGCACTTGTGCATTTCCAGGCTTGTATTTTTACTACAAGAGGATAGATGCAGCCTCGGCCAACACAAGTTAAATATAGCAGGACAAATGTACACGAAAACAATATACATGTCTTGACATTTGCTTAACTGTTAAATATTTAAAAAATGTGAGTGTTGCTAACTTCCGCATGAATTTAGATCAGAATGCAATTCCATTACGCTCAATAAAATACAATTTGACAGGCATGAGATACAAAAAAAGTTTACATTTATACAACTGCACAAAATTGTGCCAAAAACCCGGAGGCAGTCATTTACCGGTTACATCATTATTTTAAAACATTAAATCCGACATTTATTTGAATTATCAGTTCAATAAATACTTTGATCTGAAAAAATGTTCCCAAGTATCATACGATGGTCAATAACCAAAAGACGTAAATAAAGGCTTTTCGCACGCACAGTTTCAATAGGTTTTTTTTTTTTGCTCCCAGAAATTGCATTCACATTCAGAGCTCCTCGTTGCGAGTGCTGACGGCATCGTCCATGCCGAAGAAGGATGACGGCCGCCCGTGTACGTCTCTCTCGCGCTTCACGAAGGCCGTGAACGACGAGACGCAGTTCCCGATGAAGTGGTCAGCCTGGCTCAGCACGTACAGGTCCAGCTGCGCCACGTCTGGCTTCACAGCCACCACTTTCACCTTGGCAAGCAACACGATGCACAGAGGTTGTAGACAGATTCCCCCACTCGTATAGAGGGCCGATCAAGCCTACTCCCCCTGACAAAAACTACATTCACTTTGGCACACACAAGTGTTGAAGATTTAAAGCTTTCGTGACTGCAGGGATTCATATTCTTGGTTCTTTCGGTATAGTCACGCAGAAGGCAAACAATAAAATCATAAATAAAAAATATTAAACAATAAAATTCTCACGACGTTTCGACTGCAACGCAAGCAATCATCATCGGGTGTGAAAACCACAACAAGAAAATTATTTTATTGTTTCCCTTCTACGTGACTTTACCGCTTTACCGAAAGAACCAAGAATAAGTGTTGAAGAGTAATAGCTGTTGGCTTTATTTGAAATGCAATTAACAGACGTTTAATGCAGTTTTCTTGTCACGTCTGAAAAAAACATAAGTATGTTAAAAAAGTTTTCGCACCGTACACAGCCAACCATGCTAATCGGAGGTGTGGGGGAAGAACAACTAAACATAAAATAACTTCTAATTACATTTATTTTAAACCTAGATTTAAAGGTCCAGTGGCTTCCTAATACAATTCAGTACATGGCCACGATTCACAAAAGTGACCCTCTCAGCTTGTGTAGGTTATTCATTTGTATTATCATTACAGTGCGCTACAATGTATAATATATATATTCCCCTATTCAAGCCCAGGCTCAAGACTCTTCCCTTCTTCTTTGTTTACAACTGGCCTTGCTCTTATGAAGTACCTTCATCATCTGCATCTTTACCAAACATTCATCTCATTCGGCCTCACTGCAGCTCCCTACCACCTCAAATAAATGAAATGTTCCAATAACAATTTAGCAAATAATCTCTACTCCATTCAAAACCACCCTCGATGTACATTACTATTTTGTACAGCGTCCTGAGACGCAGCCACTATAACATGCTTTGCAAATGCAAAGTGTTCGTGACTAAATTACCCCAGAATTTACCTGATCTCGTCAAGAGCTTGGAAGAAAAATCTGGGTCAAACCTGCATAGTGCTTGAATGGGCTAGCACCATGCGTGGCCACGAGGCCTAGCACTTCCAAACGGCCCGCAAGCAATATTTATCCGTCACTGCAAGCCATTTTAGCCACAATTATCACGTTCTAGATGGGAATAATTTTGACCTGATAATCACTTGAAGGTCATTCTTAGCATAGTCACCAATACATACAGTTCGAGCAAGATCAAGTTTAGCATTAGCTAAATGGTAGCCCGCCGAAGAGAATTCTATTCATCCCTTGGTACAAAAAATGTTCCTCACCCCCGTGTACATGGAAGCAAACTGCACTGTATCTGTATATTTACGCGATCTAACCCAAAAAAGAAACCTCTATTATGGGTAATATTTGTCGCAAAAGCCTACGTGTTAAACCGCGTTGTATCTGGGCTGCACCGACCTGTCCTTGCAGAGCCTCGCCAATCTCCTCGGAGTAGTCTTGCGAGTCAGTCGCGACGTAGACCGAGCGCGCGCCGATGCGCGTGGCCCAGGCACGAACGGCGCGAGTCACGTCCGTCACGCTCGGCAGGCACATGGCCAGGGTGAGGGGCCGCGCCGTTGCGAGGTCGTCGCCCACGCACTGCGGCGACGCCATGAGGTGCGAGCCCACCTTGCCCTCGCGCAGGAGGGCGCACGTGTTGTGCTGCGTCAGCGCAAAGGCGAGCGTGGGCACCGCGCGCAAGACACAAAGGATTGAGACGCGCGGGGGACTCTCATTGGTGCTTGATGCTTTTGAAACTCGTGCTGAAAGCGTTTGCGCGTGGAGCTCTGTCAGTCTAAAATAAGTCGTTGTACTTCGACGCACATGGTCGAATGGTGAAATCAAAATTAGCGGCACGCTGGTTGATGTCAGATTCAATATTAATTCACATGATGCCATTTGTGCGCAATTAAACACTAGCTTCACGTTAAATGTGTCTCCTGGATTACGTATTGACATTCATAGTTAGATGATAAAATTGGTTATATTACAACCTTGTGGGGCTAGTTTGTGAGCAGCAGAAGGCAGTGCAAACATTGTTGTATCGTACTATAATCCAACATCTATGCTCTCAGCCTTTCCCAATTTGCACTCTCCAGCATGGTGAAGTATGTTCAAATCACCCCCAAGACATGTACAGTGTGGGGAAGCCACCATCCATCATAGATTGACAAAAGACCTGTGCATGTGTAAACTTGCACAGAGGTGTCTCTGCAACACCACTGGCTTTATTAATCCATTGCAGCAGCAAATCTATTTTGGGCCAAAGCGTCGTAGGCAAGGTGGCCAAAAGCGATGCTACCTACCCAGTCTGAGCCGACCCGCAGGTGAATGGCCAGGTAAGGCCTCGCTAGTCGATCGCTGATGAGCCGATTGCCCTCGGAGACCATCTTGTGTGACCACACGACGTAGCGTTGGAGGCGGCGATGTTCAGGGAGCACGGGAAACTGTGCCGGCGCACCGGGCAGCGCGAGCACCGGGTGCTTGTCAGCCGGGTACCTGCCCCGAGATGAACAGTGGGCTTGAATCAACATGCAATATGAAAGGCCTTGCATGGGCATAGATCTTGAGTACAAGTAATGAAGGAGATGTAATGAAGGACATTGAACAAACGGGTGAGAGTGTGACTGCAAAAGCAAGGCTGGTTAAATGAGAAGGGAGAGTGTTCATTTGACCATGTCGTCGCTCCTGCGCTGGAGGGAGGGAATATAATAAGTCTGGCCGTGATGCACAAATAATACAAAATAAATATAACATTAGGATTATCATTAATGCTGCCTTGTAAACTACATAATGGGCTGCTTTAGCAAATTGCCCTTCTAATCTGAAGGACGAATTAACATTTAAGAAGTGCCATTGGCTGAAACGTTTGACTATTATATTTAAATGAGTGTTAACTACAAATGCTGATTTTATTTTTTATACAAACTGTAGGCTTCCATATTACAACAATACCTTCTGGAAATGTTCCACATTTAAAATCTGGATCTTTAAGTCAAACTGATGACGAAAGGATTTGGAAAGCTTAATATTAAATTAAGTGTGTGCACTGCAGCACATAATAACCTGTGATATTATGCAAAGACTTGAACCACTTCAATGTGCTTTCTAAATGCTTTTTAACATGTACATTATTTTTAGCCTATACATTTTAAATACGACCATTCCCACTTGCTGCGAATACAAGGGATACATTGTTTGGGCGTCGGGCAAATTAAATGAACTCTATATGGAGATGCCTTTATCCAGCAGTGGATTAACCAAGGTCTGTGAAGGATGATTATCATTTTGTAATTGTAGTACTTGATATTTGTTCACAAGTGGGCACTGTGAAAAAGGCAAGCTGCTTCATTGTTACCACGCGAAGCAGAGTTTCAGGCGTACTTGTCAAGCCAGCGCTGCATGCTGTGTGGATGGTAGGAGAGGCTGTTAAACACCTCCGAATGAACAAAGTCCACTCCAAACTGGTCCCAGAAAGGCCCGAAGGGGTTGCCGTCCTGTCACACACACACACACGTCGCGCACCAACAATTCACTTAAGAAATCAGCGTGAACATGCGCCTACATATGGCTCCTGTACATCACCAAGCAGAATTTGTAGTTTTGTCGGAAAGCCCATATCTGGCAGCTATGTGCCCAGGGATACCGTATTGCTAAGAATAGTTTTAATGTTCCTTGATCACCAATTATATCTCAATTGTTCCATGAGAGCCTTGGCATGAGATGATGAATTGTCCTTCTAGTTCAACTACAGTTCAAGAATGGCCTGAAAGGATAATACACAAAACTGGCGACAATTCAAAAGTCTTCTCCATCCATACAATGACTTTCACTCTTTCATACTCCATAACGCGTGGTTCACAACATGATATTCATTTGACAGATTTAGCTTAATTGCTCTCCAAATTGGACGAAGCTGGATTAATTTCACGTGCACCGCTGTGTTGCCTGGACTGAGACCATAAAACTCGCTGCACTTGAAAATCGGGTTTAATCGCGGTTTGCTTCCGAGATTTCAATCTTAGCTGTGAAGGCTGTGTTCTGCCATAACCAGTATGAGCTTCCTGAGCCACACAGCCACATCAAGCATGTTGATTTTTTTTTTAGATGTAATCTTTTCTCGATATTTTATCTCAATTGTGTAATCGGCACGATTTAATTAAATAAAGAATCTATTCGAATGTAGAAAAAAAACAATCTGAATCCGTCACAGAGCAGGGTTAAGAGAATGGTCTGCAGAAGCAAAGGGAATGGTCTGCAGAAGTGGAGATCACCTAACACCGAGATTTCTTTATGTCACCTCTGTTCCACACAGAGGATCGAACTTTTTCCCGCTTGCTCTGCCACTTAAGATACATTTTCGGTGCATGACAGTCAACCCCACATTTTAATCCTGAGCTGGAATTTATCCAAATTAAGTGCAGAACCAAATGTATATTTTTTCATGTAGACCATTAATTGAATACAATTGAGGTCCAGTCTAAATTGCAACTTAGTCTATGTCAGTTTATGGGTCTCGATGTACAGTGAGGGAAAAAAGTATTTGATCCCCTGCTGATTTTGTACGTTTGCCCACTGACAAAGAAATTATCAGTCTATAATTTTAATGGTAGGTTTATTTGAACAGTGAGAGACAGAATAACAAAAACATCCAGAAAAACGCATGTCAAAAATTGTATAAATTGATTTGCATTTTAATGAGGGAAATAAGTATTTGACCCCTCTGCAAAACATTACTTAGTACTTGGTGGCAAAACCCTTGTTGGCAATCACAGAGGTCAGAAGTTTCTTGTAGTTGGCCACCAGGTTTGCACACATCTCAGGAGGGATTTTGTCCCAGTCCTCTTTGCAGATCTTCTCCAAGTCATTTAGGTTTCGAGGCTGACGTGTGGCAACTCGAACCTTCAGCTCCCTCCACAGATTTTCTGTGGGATTAAGGTCTGGAGACTGGCTAGGCCACTCCAGGACCTTCATGTGCTTGTTTTTGAGCCACTCCTTTGTTGCCTTCGCCGTGTGTTTTGGGTCATTCTCATGCTGGAATACCCATCCACGACCCATTTTCAATGCCCTGGCTGAGGGAAGGAGGTTTTCACCCAAGATTTGACGGTACATGGCCCTGTCCATCGTCCCTTTGATGCGGTGAAGTTGTCCTGTCCCCTTAGCAGAAAAACACCCCCAAAGCATAATGTTTCCACCTCCATGTTTGACGGTGGGGATGGTGTTCTTGGGGTCATATGCAGCATTCCTCCTCCACCAAACACGGCGAGTTGAGTTGATGCCAAAGAGCTCCATTTTGGTCTCATCTGACCACAACACTTTCACCTAGTTGTCCTCTGAATCATTCAGATGTTCATTGGCAAACTTCAGACGGGCATGTATATGTGCTTTCTTGAGCAGGGGGACCTTGCGGGCGCTGCAGGATTTCAGTCCTTCACGGCGTAGTGTGTTACCAATTGTTTTCTTGGTGACTATGGTCCCAGCTGCCTTGAGATTATTGACAAGATCCTCCCGTGTAGTTCTGGGCTGATTCCTCACCGTTCTCATGATCATTGCAACTCCACGAGGTGAGATCTTGCATGGAGCCCCAGGCCGAGGGAGATTGACAGTTATTTTGTGTTTCTTCCATTTGCGAATAATCGCACCAACTGTTGTCACCTTCTCACCAAGCTGCTTGGCAATGGTCTTGTAGCCCATTCCAGCCTTGAGTAGGTCTACAATCTTGTCCCTAACATCCTTGGAGAGCTCTTTGGTCTTGGCCATGGTGGAGAGTTTGGAATCTGATTGATTGATTGCTTCTGTAGACAGGTGTCTTTTATACAGGTAACGAGCTGAGATTAGGAGCACACTCTTAAAGGGAGTGCTCCTAATCCCCTCTTAATCATAAAGATTTCCGGCTCCCAGGTGTCTTTTATACAGGTAACGAGCTGAGATTAGGAGCACACTCTTAAAGGGAGTGCTCCTAATCTCAGCTTGTTACCTGTATAAAAGACACCTGGGAGCCAGAAATCTTTATGATTAAGAGGGGGTCAAATACTTATTTCCCTCATTAAAATGCAAATCAATTTACAACATTTTTGACATGCATTTTTCTGGATTTTGTTGTTGTTATTCTGTCTCTCACTGTTCAAATAAACCTACCATTAAAATTATAGACTGATCATTTCTTTGTCAGTGGGCAAACATACAAAATCAGCAGGGGATCAAATACTTTTTTCCCTCTGCAAGTCTATAGGTTTCCATGCAAGTGGTTCTGAGTCTCTATGAAAGTCTATGTGTTTCTATATAAATCTCATGGTCTCCATGTGAGTTTCAGGGTCTCTATGCAAGTCTATGAGTCTCTCTGTAAGTCATTCGTTACCAGGCTGAGACATTAACCCACGAAACCTCAAGTAACTTGACTTCAAGACGTGTGTGTGTGTTTGAAGGGAGAGATCAACAAGCAGAGCGAGACTGAGTGACCCTCCGGCCCTCACCTTCATGGGGCACGAGCGCTTATCGGGGCTGCGTGTCGCAGCCGCCTCGAAGCAGTAGGCGGTGCGGGCGGCCGGGGGCCAGTGGTCCGGGGCAAGGTGCTCCATGAAGTGCTCCAGGCTCACGATGCGATGGAACTTGCTCAGAGCCTCCAGTTGGAAATACTCCGCGTACGGGACGTGCGCCTGAAGACAGAGAAAGCACAGCGCAGGCGCAGCACCCACCGTACCCACCACCGTGGTAATAATTCCACGTGCGGACAATTCACTAAATTATATTGTTACGCTCGCGGTATCGTGCATAGAAATTTGCATCCAAGAATTGGTTATTTACACGAGGCTAATAGAATGAGTTTGCGTTTAGATTATTTGGCTGCTATAAATGATCACATGATAAGCCACTTTGTTGAACTATATCATGTGGCCAAGTCGTTAATAAAGAAGCTAATAGCTCAATGGGCTTTACCTGGTAAAATAAAAAATATAGTTTAGTTGTATTTTTTTTATAATTTGCTTACCTTTCCTATACTTTTCACTCCTATCGTGTTTTTTTTTGCGACTGTTTGTTGGTGTAACTCTTTGACCCGCCCCTATTGGACAAAAGAGCTTTAAAGCTCATTGGATTCCTCCACTATAAACATTCAGATTGGCTCAAAGGCGTGCATATGGCAGTTGAAACTATACTCTGTTTTTTTTCAGTAAATTCACGTAGGTATAAAATAAATCACGACGTTTTGGGCGCAACACAAGCGTCCGTCATCATCTAATTATCTGATGACGGACGCTTGTGTTGCGCCCGAAACGTCGCGATTTATTTTATTTTATACCTACTTGACTTTCCCGATGAACCAAATAGTATGGATTCCTGCAGTCACGAAAGCTTCAAATCAATAATAATGGTATTCGTCACTGATTAGGAAAATATTCCACTCCCCCTATGCCAGCGGTGTCCCAGGGGATACGGAGGTGATTTATAAATGTGTGAAATAATATCATGCATGAGTCATTAGTGAATAATCATGTATCAATCTGCCAATATAAAATAACTACGATAACATTTGAAACCCATATGGTAACCGGCGGTGTGAGTGGGTTGGTGAGTGGGTGAGTGGGTGGGTGAGTGAGTGGGTGGGTGAGTGAGTGGGTGAGTGAGTGGGTGGGTGAGTGGGTGGGTGAGTGAGTGGGTGGGTGAGTGGGTGATTGAGTGGGTGGGTGAGTGGGTGAGTGGGTGGGTGGGTGATTGAGTGGGTGATTGAGTGAGTGGGTGGGTGAGAACCCAACCCGTTCCGTGCCATCTCTCCGCTGCTGGCCTCGAGAGGGACTTACGTTGGTGTAAGGCGGCGTGTGGTGGCGATACTCCACCCAGGGGGGCACGGCCAGCGTGCGGTTCAGCATTCGCGCGAACGCCAGCGAGCCCAGGAACTGGTCGGCCTGGTTCCCAAAGCGCCCTGCGGAATGCAGCAGCCACCACCGGCGCACGAGACAATCCACCTGGGCTGATGGGGGGATTGCGAACCCCCCCCCCCCCCGAGTCTTTTGGGGCAATGCATCGAATGATAAAAAAAAACACGGGCGATGAGTCGAAGACTACGGCCAGACGATTGATTTAGACAAGTTTAAGAAGGAAGATAAAAAAATATAATTTGTACCACCTGGACGTTGAAATGCTGAGCTGTAGCCCCGCATCTTCTACTACTGCATGAGCCGTATGCACACCGTGTCAACCCACACTACGGTTTACCACGTGTTATTGTACAGGTAAAGTTGAGTGTTCTGGTTCTTTCGGTAAAGTCACGTAGAATGATAATAAAATAATAAATTGTGAGAATATTATTGTGTTTTTTTATTTTATCAATTTATTATTTTATTATCATTCTACGTGACTTTACCGAAAGAACCAAAGAAGATGAATCATTGCAGTCACGAAAGCTTTAAATCTAAATTTGAGTGTTCTGGTTCATACGGTGTACAGAGGCGTTTCAATACGGGCACATTTTGTGTCTATTTGTTTGTGTTTCTCCCTTGTGATGCGGCTTTGTAGGATGAACGTTAAGATTTATAAGTGGGCACGGGGTGACCACTAAGGTCTGAATTGGTCTGTAATAAGGTAGGACACTGATAAGGGGTTGACAGGTTTGTGTGTGTGTATATAAAGTGAAAATGGACAGATGAACAGAATATACCTTTATAAAACGTCGGCTTTCGCGACCAATATTACTCATAGTAAAGATTGTTGGGTTAGATCGCGTTAAGTATAAATGGGTCTAACCCAAAATAATAGACCTTCTTCCACGCGTTCCCGTCTGGTTTAAGTACTATTTAAGATAAAGTGATGTCTAATACCCAAAAGGAATCTCACACGTTTAAAAACCACCCCCTCCACCCCCCCCCAAAAAAAAGCAACTCAACACATTTGTTTAATAAGTGCCTCGAAAAGGGGAAACAATGAAACAATGAGGCAATACTAGGTACAAATTTAATAAACTAAAACAAAAATGAAAAACTAAATTAAATCACGACGTTTCGGAGGCAACACAAGCTTTTACACCTGATGAAGGAAGCTTGCGTTGCCTCCGAAACGTCGTGATTTAATTTAGTTGTTTTTCATTTTTGTTTTATTTCATTTCATTTTTATTTTTTTTTACCTACGTGCCTTTACCCAAAGAACCGAAGAGTTCGCAGTCACGAAAACTTCAAATCTAGAATATGAGGCAATGGTTCGTGTTAACAACAACAGTAGCAGCAGCTACATCCACGTCCACCGATTGGCTTCGCGCGCCGCCTGTAAACGGTGCACGATCGTTAATGTTTACGACGCTCGTGTAACTTAACCACTCGCGTGGACGAGAGAGTTGGCGATGCGTCCGTCGACGACGGTCTACAACACGGACAAGAGAGTCGAGGCGACATGAACCTCCCCGCTCACCCATGCAGGGGCAGTAGAGGACGTAACCCGCACGGTCCCACGCCTCGCCACGGGCCCACGCGGCGACAAGGGCGACGAACGCCAGGCGAACGGCCATGGCGTTACGCTAAACGCCGTCCAGTGATAATCAACAACAACAAGAAGACGAAGAAGAAGAACGATGAAGGCGGTTGAGGGATTAAAGCGCGAACAAAGTTACAGAGAGCGAGGGACCCGCCAGGGATTTCCGGAACAACCACCCGGCAAAAAGGGAACTCAGGGGCGCGCGGATACGCGCTCGCGATTGGCTCACCGCGCGCACGTGGCGAGCAACGCGCAATCCGATTGGATAGCTGCGATCGACTTATATGGTAATTATTAACATAATATAACCCCACGATGAAAAATGTACATAATATAACCCCACAATAATAATTTACATAATATAACCCCACAGTGTAATTAACATAATATAACCACACGATGATAATTTACGAAATATAACCCCACGATAATTGACATATAACCGCAGTGTAATTAACATAATATAACCCCACGGTGTAATTCACATAATATAACCCCACGATGATAATTTACATAATATAACCCCACGATAATATGCGAATTATAACCCCACAATAATTGACATAACTCCAGTATAATTAACATAATATAACCCCACGGTGTAATTAACATAATATAACCCCACGGTGAAAAATAATAATCTGCATATATCACCACACCATTATCCAGTGTTGGTTGATGTATTATATTCATACATCGACATGTAACATTTAACACAATTCGAAACATAAGGAAGCTGTCGTAGTGATGCAATGATTTTTGTACACTGGACTTGCAATCCAGGTCACCGATTCGATCACCTGGCGTGGCAGTTCTCACAATGGATGTTGAGAGTTGTGGGTTTACTCTCCGACACACCGGTGTGCTGAAGAAAATAATTGGCATGTTTGTTTACGTCACAAACCTCACTAATTGGCTGTGTCGGGTGGTGGTGGCGGGTTTAACGACACATTTATATATTTACGCGATCTAACCCAAAAACCTCCATTATGAAACAATGGATGTTTCTTAAATCTTCGCCCAACCGCTTTTGTCCGACAGCAAACAGTAATTTGGTGCACCAGTTAGTCGATCGACATGTGTGTGGTGGGGTGAAGTGTGGGTACTCCCTCCATTGTGGAAGATTAGGCCAAAATATCCTCGAGCTCCCTCTAATGGGGGGGGGGGGGGGCACTTCCCGAGTGGCGCGAGCAAGTAATTTGCAGACTTTGAACAATTCAGGTCGCTGTAACATTTACAGCAAATATAACATGCACGGCTTGTTTGTGCAAAAATATATAGAAATAATGCGGTGTAGTCATCAGCAGCCATGGTCTGTCCACGGCTGGGCGTTGCCATCCCTGACAAAATCATCAACAGAGCGGAATATATCATCAAGCTTTTATTCTGTTGGATTTCATTCGTACAAAAGAGCATTTAAAAATGCAACGAACTGCATAACGGACCTCAAAATTACAGTATGATTCCTGAAAGGACATTTCATTGTTAACGCACGGCCACTTCCCACCAATTTCAATCGCACATTTCCTTTCAACACTTAACCACACTGAGCCAACCCCACCTCACTAATCACCCCCCCTCCCCCCGCACCTGCATGTAACGCGATTAGACGCGTGACGACACATCGATTACAATCGATAACCTATGCTCAAGGCGCACGGAACACTGCGAGTTATGACTCGGTTATTCTTGATTCGTATATGATGCCAGTGGCGGTGCTAGGCATAACGAAAATAAGCAGAAGTTTATGATCCCAAATAGCTCAAGAGTCTCGGGGATTCAAAGAACAAATTGGAGAACACCAAATATCAGCTTGAACGGAGATCCTTATAAAAACATAAAAGGGCATCACGCTATTGACACGATAACAAAGGTAATTTATTTGTAATTGTTCTATTAGATTGGTTCACATAACTGACAAGTAGTTTATCCAGAATTTGTTTGTTGTAATGATGCACCCCAAATAATTTCCATAGAGGGCTCCTAATAGACTGGCACCACCACCGCATGTTGTTACTGCTTCCCGCACTCGTAATTTTGCATGAACCAGAATGATAGACGAAAGAATCAAATCAAATTAGTCGCGACCCCGAATCGTACCAATTCATCGTTTTGTGATGGCATGAAAATCGTAAATGTGCTCAAAAGCCACACTCAGGGCATCAAGTGGCCAACAATGCACCAACGTTAGACAGCCCACGAGTGATACGTTAGGATTGACTCGCCCGATTGTAATGAATAAAGGCGCAACCTTCCAATTGATCGCTCACACCACTGCTGGTGGAAGTCCTCGGCTAGAGATAACTCCAAAGAGAACCTCTAGACTCTAGAGGGTACTATGACTGCATTCATTTGTTTCATAGCCTACCGTGAGTTGGTTTTCACTGCATGGAATGCTTTTCCCTTTTTGGGATTTAGCTCAGATTGTATCCTAAATATGCTACTCGTGTCAGGAGGTGAAGAAACATCGTTTGAGATATTTTCCAATCAGTCGGGCCTCGAATTACCATGCCACAATATCTATAACTTTTATGACCACTTTAAGGACACTTCCATTGACAATTGATGCTTAATCATCTGAAGTGTCAAATATACAATGTTATTTATCAAAGCTTTGCCCCAAAATTTCCAATGATCCAGGACCATGGACCGCGAGTACATTTTAAGCTTAAGTTTAGTTGCACTGAATGTTTTTTTTTTGTGTGTGTGGTCATTAGTGAAGGAGCAAGAGGCCATCAAATTCACTACACTTGAAAATTTGGCTAATCACGGGTCGCTAACCAGATTGGAAAGCTTCTCAGTGGCATTGGCTCAGTGCTTCGACATGGCCATTGAGGCTCCTTCGCCACCAGGCCACCTCATAGTAACTGAATCTTTCAATACTTATTTCTGATTTGACCAGGGCCATTCCAAGCTATTTACTACGTTGTTCGTCACAACACGGGAAAAAAGTGCACTTATTCAAACCCTTTTCCCTCTAAGCCGGTATACAGAAAGCATTAGCATATTGTAGTCGTAAAAGCATTCTTTTTTTGCCTGCTTTTGGTTTAAATATGCCGCACAAGCAAGCAAATAAACCGTACCAACATTCATATTGCCTCTAGTGGGCAGTCTAAACATTAATTAAATGGACTTCCGATTACCCATGACATACACCAGTGTAAAGGCTGGTATACTTTACAAAAAAACTGAATGTTCATTCTACCGAGTAAAGCTTGGACAGAGCTTGCTTCAAACACAACTAGTGTTTAAATAATTTATGTCATTGAGCTGTGGGTCTGTTGTCAAACACTTATTAACGTCTGAACACAAAAACGCACAAAAGCATAGTGATACCATATCGGATGAGCCAGTGCAAGAAAGAGGGTACAACAATATCCCGTGTAATGAGCAAAACAAAGTTTTGCATTTTCGGCCCTAACTTGTTTCTAAATTGTACTCTCTATCCCAAAGTACATCGTAAAGGCTCATATTAACTTCCATCTCTTGTGGCATATATTTGAGATTAATTCAAATGTTTATTAATTTCCCTTAACACAAATATTTAAAACCAACTTTTTTTTCATATTTTAATTGCATTGTCTCTTCGATATTTGCAGAAGATCTCCCCATTCCTGCGTTCAGAATTTCACATCAACAAGAAGTCGCAATGCACACAAATGCGAACTCGTGAAAATCAAGCCATGAAAAAGAACACAAGGGCTGGATTTTAACAACCAACAATTCTCTACATCCGTGTTTCTCAATCTCTGGTCCTAATGACCTCCCCACGATGCAGCATTCTGCGATTACCATCTGTGCAACGTGTAACGGCTCGAATCAAATGTGAACGGTAAAGATCCATAGCCAAGTAAAGCTGCACCATAGTGGGAGGAGTCGCAAGGAGGAGAAACATTGCTCTACTTCACAAATGTGTCGTCTGACATTTCTCACCACTAAATCACCCACCACTTAATGTCAAGCATTCCTTTGGATGATTTGCAAATGCATCAAGACGCCAACCCGACACTCGGGTCGAGAGTGGCTCCTGTCGCTTGTTTTGTGCCGTGACGACGGACATTCAAGTAACGAGTCGCGTTAAAACAGTAGCGGTTTTACAGTGATGGTCACACTTTGCATAGCACACTCTGCGGCTGCAACACATTTCCTACACGTCAGCCTTTGCTTGTGAAGTGAGCAGACGCCCAATACATTCAGCGATGCCACTGCCGCCACATGGGCACGCAACGTGGTTTACGGGCGCGTGTACGCTCACACACAAGTGCACTCTTCAGGCTCCAAGAGGCTGCTTTAAAGAGGGGACAGGAAGCGCAGCAAGGCAGCCATAGGCAGTTGCATTAAATATTCTTTGCGGAGGGCCGAAATATTTTTTTGGAAGGGGTTTTATATATATAAAATTTAATAAATGTTATTATTTTGTATGTCGAAAAATGTGACCGCGCAAGGTTGCCACTACCATAGCACATCGTAGACTGACATGTTCCAGGACATTCAATTCACCGATTGCGTCAGTCTGGAGTCCATTCCATTGGGTTTTACGATACAAGCACGATTCTCAATTGGTTCGTAGCTCCATATTTCTACAAACGCACCACGTAATTCACATCGTAATTTTCATGGCCTGCCGTTCGGATGCGGGTCAGGTCACGACAAAAACATGACATAATGAATATGACCTGACCGGCAACCGAAACGGCAAGCCGTAAAAACGATCCGATGCAAAACTCTGTCAGTCAACCACGTGCTCTGATCGTGTTGACCTTACGCTCTGTCAGCGAGCCGGCCTTCAAGGAGGGTTTACTGCACAGGCTGTATTTGAATGCCACAGCTGGTAAAAAGGTTTGCCCAGGCTAAACCCTACTAGACCTAGCCACTCGCCACTTAGGATTGCAGTGCATCCTGCAGCCTCTTTTAAAATGCCTGAAGGTCATGATACTCTCGGGAAATCACCGCCTGCGATCGTCACTAGCAACGCAATTACTATGCGCAGCTATAGTAACTCGGTGCAGCAAAAGCACAGTGAAACAGTTCTGCCTAGCCAATTGAACCAGTTTGTTGAAATATGTTAAGTGAGCAATAGGTCTATAGACCACTCAAATTTTGGTAGTTATGTGACCTGTCTGTAATCTGATTGGAAGTTACTATCCTGGTTGCTCACTACAAGGAGCAGCAAATATGTGTCCAGATTTTGGCAACGAAATGGTGTGACTACTATTTCCAGTGACAATGCCATGCAATGTCCATAGTGTATCATAGCCTTGAAGGAGCGCCAAATCAAGTCAGTACCTCAGTAGCAAAAGAGCACTCGCAAGTTTTGTCCATAGTCACAGTACCAAGTCATCTTACAGACACATGCTACGGAAAGGCAGCTGGTGCTACAAGGGCATTGGTACCACATTTTAAATGATTGTACTATACTATATATATTTTAATTGTTACATGCATACAAAAATTAACTTATATAATACTTATTCTTGGTTCTTTCGGTAAAGTTACGTAGAAGGGAAACAATAAAATAATAAAAATATAAAACAATAAAATTATCACGACGTTTCGACTGCAGCCTTTCCGTAGCATGTGAATTTTATTTTTTATATTTTTATTATTTTATTGTTTCCCTTCTACGTGACTTTACCGAAAGAACCAAGAATATGAATCCCTGCAGTCACGAAAGCTTTAAATCAAAATTATATAATACTTGTTTGATTTTTTTTAATTTACCACTCTTTAACACCAAAAGCATAACACGCTGAGATGATTGACGTCTCCAGATGGAAAATATGAGATTGCATTTAAATCACGAGCATACTTTGAAAAAACTGAATCAGCCATTGCCATGAATACTTAACATTAATTACGGGAGCTGATGTTGGCTCTTTTGACCATTCAAGCTTAGGGTCAACTAGGATAAGACAGAAATGTTTATAAAAAAATAATATAATTTTTTAGCCAGCAGATATAATATTGTAACCTGCACCCTTACGTTTTAAATATGGGCCAACACTAACCTTGATATTAGCTTTGTGATACAACCATGATTCTTGTTGCCCGATAAAAAAAAACAATTCCTGAAACGCACCGTTTAATTCTCATCAGCTGCCACCAGGTGGCCTTAATTGAGATTGTTCTCCCAAGGTCACCCCAAAAAGTATTTTAGCGTATCCATCGCAATAAAATTCTTCGGTCATTAATGAAGCATGTCGCAGACTCTATTAACGTTCGTTATTGAAGATGCATTCAATTTGGCATGGTCGGCAAGCAAAAGCTCTTAAGAGCATCACATTGTTAAAAAAAACCTTGTCGCAGGCGCAAATTAGCTCATCAGTTATATATGTATGCAATAGCATTTAAAAAAGGGTCACTTTGGTAAGAGGCAGCATTCTTATATACAAGTGCAAATGGACAAATTCTTGCTGGTATGTACTTGGAATTAAATGCTAACAAATATATACACATACAAAGAAATCCACTATCATGCTATGAATAAAACGAACTCTCAACACAATCAGCAAATTGTTTCCTTAGCCCAAGTCTTCCAAATCATGGCTATTAGAATCAACTCCAAACTGCTCTCAAACCCTACAATTCCATCGACTGTGTTACAATTGCCATGCAAAGTTTGTAAAACCTAGGACAGTACAATTTTATCATTTGGTTGGAGTACAGGTCCACACTGATAATCACACTGATGGAACAAAATAATAAAATAAAAACACTTCGACGAGTACCTCTTGGTGACATTTAAATAGTGCGGCGCACGTTTTGCAACAACCTGTACGCACAGCGAAGCGCGTACGTGTTAACGAGAGCCGACGGCGAGACAAAGAGATGGACCTGCCGGCTAGAAAGACAATGGCAGCGATGTCACGCGGCAGCGCGTCCGAGACGCCCGGTTCGGGGCTCACGCTCTCACTGCTGCAGCATAGCCTTAATCTGCTTGGAGGTGGTCTCTTCATTTAAATGCTTGGTGTTGTACCTGGAATGGACGAGAAGCACACACGTGATGGATTTCATGGTCAAGACATACCTATAACATCCCGATCCCGTCAGATCTTGGAAACTAAGCAAGTTTTGGGCCTGGATAGTGCTTGGATGGGAAACCATCTGAGCCCTACCAGCTGCACTTTTAAATGCAGAGGAAGATCTGCTGTTGTACTGTACACCTCCCACCTTCACCAACCCGCACTGACCAAGCGTGGTCAAGTATGGTCAATTAACACTCACAACCTGTGCGGGGCATAGGTAGGCTCTCATCCAGCAGTGGATTTACAAAACTGGTTGTGCATGTATTAAAACACAGTCCACTGTAAACAGTAGGCATGTTAACAATTTACCACTACCCACCAAGTAGTTCAATAACTTGTCCTGATTTGGCATCGCGATTCAAGTCAGAAGTCAATTATCTTTTATCAACATGTTTATATACGTCATTTTTTTCTCCGAGTTGTAAAATTGTATTTTTTCCATTAGCCTAAATGTAACACTAGCACCTTTTCCGGAAAATGGGAAATAAATGAATTAACTAATGCAACGGCTATGCACCACAACAAACAGTGGAACACATCGTTAAAAATCTACTTAAATTATTTCCATACAAAATAAGAGGGAAATATTATAATTTGAATACATTGGAAGGAAATCTAATCACAAACTCACATTTCGATGCATGTAATTTGAATGTAATGTTGAATTGATGAATCACTGCACCATTGCATGTCCAATTGTGTCTGTAATACTGTGCCAATAAGCTTTAATATGGTAAATAATGGAACGGCTACCTTTCAAAAAAGACACAGATCCCCTGTATCGGCTACACGAACTGTTGGGGGAAGTTAGCGAGCACCTATTTAGGTCAGCATGGTGCCTGAGGAGGTGGCGTGACCAGCACCATGGCCAGCTGCTATTGTCTCCCTGGTACTGCTGTTCACATGCCACACCAGGTAAAAATTAACTTCATGTTTAGCCACGGCTTAATATCAAACCCAGGTGGGCCGGGTTCGTAGTGAAGTGGGCTAACTACTCCACTGCCACCACCCCCCACAACGAACATTCACACATGCACTCACGATCAAGGGGAAAGAATGAGAGAAGAATTAATTGGGGTAAATTACATGATCGCTAATAGCACCTTACTTAAAACTGTTCCCAATCAGAATGTGTGTGGTCTCCTCTTTTCAGGACTTCCAGTGACCGGTAACACAAGAAGTCTGCTCTGCAACTTGTACCGTTTATGTGCTGGCAGCAATGGAGAAGTAGGGGATGTGGAAATGTGAAAAATATATATTTTTAAACATTATAAACACGGGTGGGCGGCCAACAGGAAGCCTGACTGTCTTCGCTGGCAATTTTCCCACGAAAATAAAAATAATACAAGAATGCAGCAGGCGGAACGCTGTACGACCGTGCGGGCGGGGCATACAAACCTGAGCGCGTTCAGCAGACCCTCCACGCTATTGGCTGGCTGGTCCTTTAACACCTTGATGCAGCCTTTCATCTGTTAAAATCAGCACACAAAAACCCCCTTTAGAAGGTTAACATGAGCATCATCAGAAGATCAAACAACTCATATTCATTCAAGTTCTTACAATGTTTAAAGTCAGCAAGAGATCACTGATACAACAACTCCCTTTCTGGAATGCAGACGTGAGAAGCATTGTCCTTGGATACGGGCAAAAAGGTTCACAGGGAACCGAATTGGTGCAGACATTAACCATGTATAATATTAAATGCAATATTTAAAATAATATAATTACTTATACGTAAAATCACAGCATCAACAAAACATTATCTTGAACAGGTTAAAGCCCTCTAAATTAAGGTACTGCTGGTAGTGGTGAATCAATACAAATTTGAAATACCCACAACGCTCATTGTTTAACAATACCTTTCTGTTAAAAGATAACGTTAACCCCTATCGGCATTACAGTTAGAGAAATAATTTATCATTATAAATATGAAATATCTGCCTAATGAATGAAAACTAATTATATTATAAAGGCAGAGCTTCTGGTGTACAACAGTGTTAATGATGAATGTGGTCATCTACAACCAACATAACTACCAAAACACTATCAAACACTTGTTTATTAACAGTAAAGCTCAGCAGTGAGATTTTGCTTGTGCAAGTGTGGCGTTATTCCTTCTATTAAAACTTTGTTTACACGAGGAAAGGAGTTTACGTGGGACGTGATGTGAACAGAATTGATCAAGCGGATTTTGTTCACACGGTCCCATGTAGAATCCCTGGCAAAGTTCTGCCTCTTACACTCCACAGCTGATAAAGCCCAACTAAACTTCCCTTTTTCGTCATTTCCACTTCAGATAGGAACTCGTGTACCAAGCCAAAACTGTGCCAATCACAATTTAAAATTAGAAAGCAGCGAAATACAAAAACACATGAAAACGCTTTACAGCAAAGATTGACATTAAGAGTAATAATAATAAGGGCCATCCATTGAGTACATACGCATGGAGGGGGGAAGGGGGGGGTTAACCCAAATGCGTACACTTGCATATAGGTGGTCTACTGACAATGTACGTACGCATAGGAAACTGGGGCGAGGGGAGGTGAAGCCTCGATAATAATTTGTCGACATTGGCCTTCAAATGAGCCACAGTTCAGTTTCTTTAGATGTCAGATGACAAGTACTACCGGGAGAAGTAGGACTGTGGGAGAGGTGTCACTTGTATGCCACCATACCCCTGACTGCTAGCTATCACGCAGCTCGGCAAAATAAGCGGCCAAGGTACGCAACTTTATTCTTTAATGCAGGCGGCGGTGGACTATCTGTTAATATTATTAATCCTTGATCGTTTCTACATGAATTAAATATCGGCCATTCTATAGGATTCGGGGGGGGGAGGGGAAGGAAAGTATGCGTGCGTACAGGGAGGGGGGACGGGTCAAGTTTTAATATTTAATATTAATATTATTAATCCTTGATCGTTTCTGCATGAATTAAATATCGGCCATTCAATAGGATTCGAGGGGGGGGAGGGGAGGGAAAGTACGCGTGCGTACAGCGAGGGGGGGACGGGTTAAGTTTTAATATTTAATATTAATATGATTAATCCTTGATCGTTTCTGCATGAATTAAATATCGGCCATTCTATAGGATTCGAGGGGGGGGGGGGAGGGGAGGGAAAGTACGCGTGCGTACAGCGAGGGGGGGACGGGTCAAGTTTTGACAGATTTTTGCGTATGTACTAAATGCATGGCCCCATATAATTGTCATTTAAAAACCCTTCATCAATCAACGACTGGACGAAGACCTCTCAAAACCATTTGGTTTACGGAAGTTGTTATACCATACTTCACCAAGCTGGTCAGTGCAATTTAATGAAGGTGGGGGAGATTTAACCAGTTTAAATATCAATTTCCACCTATGATAGCCATGGCCTGGAATGGAACTGTGTTCACCAGGTTTGTAGCGCACTTCATTGCAGTGATGAAAAATGTATAATGTTGCAGGCCATTTTGAAGTAGTAGGCCTCATGTGACTGTGGGCCCTATGATATCGAGTCACGAGAGGCATACACCGTGCGGACCCGCAGGTTCCCATCCTCGCTGTAGATGCTCACGAGCAACAAAAGCGAGTGTGTAACATCTTTGAGCGCTACATTTCCACTCGGGTGCAGATTCAATATAGAGGTGAACCGCTCGACCTTGGCACAGGGCGACACACAAAGCGTTTTCTTTCCCTCGCACCCACGCCATGGTGTGCTCTTGCGTGAAACATTGAAAGGCCACGAGACTTTTGGCACGATCCTCTCAAATCTGCGCAGTGTGAATGCGAACACACACAAGCCTGCATGCATGTGTGGATGTGTGTGTGTGTGTGTGGGCGTCCATGCAGATTAAGGATTTTCCTGCCACAAAGTCTCTGATCTTGCACAGCTGTGTGCGTGTTTTGAACTCGTTATAAACTCATAGAGATCCAATGGTGTAAAGCTATTTGAAAAGTCCTGACAAAACAGAATATCGTAGTACGAAAAAATACTTGACAAAAATCTGAAAAAGACGATCTTCTAAAGGATCCTATTTTTTCTATACTTAAGATTGAATGTAACTAATGTTTAAGATAATCTGTTCGAAGCATTTTTTACTATTTAAAAATGTATCTAAAGGAAAAAACACCCTGAAGATGAGGAGTTAACTATAATAAAAATGTAACAATCATTTTTTCATATCAGACGTTATTGTTCCCAAACGGAAGCGATGTGCACATACATGTGTGTGCATGCATGGCGGGGGAGCAGTGGCTTAGTGGTTATCCCACTACGCTACAAAACCAGCAACCAGAGTTAAATTCCCAGCCATGGCTAACATCAGTAGCAAGTAGTATCGGAACAGAGTCTGGGTTTCCCCTAAACCAACTCAGCCTAAAATACATAACAAGTACCGTGTGTGAACACCAGCACAGGTGAGATAAATGGCGCCAGGCGTAGTTCAGACCACACCACCCCGTTGGGAGTCACCACTTGCCCCAAAATGAAATTAAGCTATACAGGGGATTTATTTGCTTGCGTGCAGGTGTGCGGGCGTGCGTGCACCGTACGTCGATTTTGGAAGATTTGGCGAAGGCGCCCACAGGGTGCACGTGGTCGTAGAGTATGATGACGCCCACCATAACGCGCAAACAGAAAAACACCGTCTCTTCGCTCGCAAAGCGCTTCCTGTACTCCCTGCCGGCAGTGCATACAGACACAGACAGCGATTGCCAACCAAGCCGGTGTGTGTGTGTGTTACCAAATCAACTCAAAATGTGCCCCATTTCATCGCATCTCAGAAGCAAAGCAGGTTTGATTACAGATAGTGCTTGAGTGGAAGACAACCATGCATAGAAAACAAGTATATTGTATGTTGCTGCAGGACTACATCATCAATTCTTAAGCAACATATATAAATTATTACGCTCACAATACACGCATCTTTCAACCCCCCCACAACAAATTAGAATTTAAATTCACACCCAGTAACCCAGCTTCAATTTATTTGCTGAACCAAAACACTCTGTACATGGCCAACACCCCCACTATGTTGACTCATCCTCAAATAAACACCTTGTACAATGCTTCAACATCAAGCAATGGCAAGGCAATGACAACACGATGACAACCCATACCAGGTAAAACAAAACAATGAGACGCTGAATGTCAAAACCGGTTAAGTGTGCATTGTTGAACCAATGCTGTTGAAATTATCCACTCCAGGAAGGCCGTGTGGTGAATGTGTAAAAAAAAATTATAATGTATGTGGAGGGACAGATATGGGAAGGAAGCATACTGTTTGCCATTAGATATTTTGATACCTGGGACTGACATTGGAGCAGTTCAGATAATGAAGTTCATGCTGAACGTACATGCAAAATTCCACCTGGAGGTGCATGGCTAAAAATTGTACCCGAGGTCACTGGAATTGCTGTGCTGCGCATTACTCACCACGCCACTACTGACTGTTGGTGCAGCGCCACATGAATACCAAGATCGCCGGATAGTCGTACAAACTGTCGGGGCGAGTGCTGTTGGGGGTGGGCCTATGATGGCCTGCATGGCGCACGAGGGTGTGGTGTGGCCAACACCACACCCTTCGTTTACCCAGTGCAGATGTTTACATGTCAACTATGTGCTAATTTAAAGCGCACGACACACCACAGTCACATGCGGTCACAGCGCGAGACTTACGGTGTCTCCAGCATGACTTTGCACACCCTGGCCATGGTGCTTAAGCAGTCTGTCGTATTTTCCAGGGGAAGTGACTTGTGCTGAAACAGAAATGAACATTGTACACATTATTAACTACCGATTAAACAAAAGAGCGTGAAGCAAGCAAAAATCCCAGGGATATACGAATAATACATTTGAATTTGAAATGTTCGCCATGATAAACCTTGCTCGTTTATTAAAAATTAGATACATTTGAACAAGTTGAGGCTATTAATGCCCAGTGATATAAAAAAAGACGTGATGTTGTGTAAACGCTTCCAAATTGAGGGCTTGGTAACCTTTCACTCGTGTCTATGGATCGTCTGCTTTGGCCTGTATGTCAGGCTTGCATTGCACTGTATCAGTTATCATTTGTTGGCCCAGGCCTCCCCTTGAAATAGGAACTAGCATTCTAAACGGGTTCTCACCAGCTAAAATAAAGTCCATGAGCCAATCGCCCATATCTCTCCACCCAATTAATGTTGTATTCCATGAACAGTATCAAGTATCAGTGCCTGTTATTTGGTAGGGATTTGCCATAATTTTTCAAACAACTTATAAGGCTTCCCTGACGCTGTTTTCAATAGTCACCAACTCCATGTTACTGTAAGAACCTAAAAACTCATGTTCGTCAATAACACCATCCTAAAAGGAAGAATATATAATAGATGATGTATAAGGCAAATGGCCCTTCGTCATAGCACATAACGAATGTGTTATTGACTAATGTTTTACATTTTTGTTATTTATGCACCACTGCCAACGCATCATGAGCAAATAATTAGTTAAATTTTCTCTGAACCCAGCTTGCCTGGTCACGAAACCACACTAAACACAACTCGTAGACAAGAGACAGGTTGTCCTTATCAATCTCTAGGTGGATAATTGCGACTACTTTGCACAATAAATGACCTGTAAGCCAAATCGACTTTTCTTTACTATCATTTTCAATAGCAAACCACTGTCAATGTCAAATTTGTCTGACCTCGGAAGATCTCAGAAGCTAAGCAAAACTCAACCTGGATAGTGCATGGATTGTTATAGGCTGCGGGGCAATATTTTGGGCAGCAAAGGGCAGTGCAGCAAAATAAATATTGTTATACTGGAATATGCTCCCACGGAAATGCTCCCCATCTTTACAGACCCGCACTGACCAGCGTCAAGTATGGTCAAATAGCCCCATGCAACATGCAAAGCGTGGGATGTGCCCTCATCCAGCAATGAAATTGCCAAAGGACTGCACATGCACAACGCACATGTTGCCTCGTACTTACGTACCAGGCAAACCAAACTAATATGAGCCCAGAAGGGGGCACACATCCTGTTAAATATTCTCCAGAAAGACCTCAAGCACGGGAACAAGAAACAAGAAACTGTGTACGCCACCCCCCCCACTGTTACCTCCTGCACAAACCGTGTGGTGCCATCGCTCAGCGTTTTCAGCATTGGCGTGGCTTCCGCGTAGAACAGGGACATGCGGTTCGCCATCTCGTTATTCACCTCCATCTCCACATCGGACTGTGGCGAATGCAAAAACGGCAGCAACGGGAAAAGCGCATGAGCCTGCACACAACCCCACGTGTTTGTGTGGGCAACGCCTCCCGCGGCCCCTATACACTGCTGAATGAAACATGACGAACCAAGAAAATGTTTCACAATGTTCCCGTGAAAAGCAGTGATGGAACAACTAAAGTCAAGCATACAGCCAGAAGACATGTATTGCTGCCATGATTCACCGAACGGTCACAATTTGGGATAAATATTTTAACTTTCTTTTTTACTCTTTTTGCAGTGCCTGTTTTTTTTATGTTCCGATCTCATTTGTTATATACCTTGATAGTACGACATTTCAGAAGCGTATCATCTTCATCCTTAGATGTGTCACGTGTACATACTTATTTTCATGAGTAAATAATTTTTACATGTTAACATAAAGTAATACACCGTTTAACTGCATACCCATAGAGGTCACTATGTGTCGATGGTGATTAACTGTGAGCAGACAATAGGTACTGAAATTTTTGTGCACACAAAAAACGGCAGGATGTAAAGCACAATGTGCACGCATAATGTGCATGCATAATGTATGTTGATTACCCTATGAATAACCCAACCTTCTATTTAAGAATGAAACAGGAGGATTCTCAATCTAGATTTGATTGAGGATTCTCCACAAATGTGGCTGTCACCTGATGATGCGAGTTGTAATTACTGGCGAAACGTTGTACTCAAATTGTAAATGTTGTGGGTTTACTCTCCAGCACACCAGTGTGCTGTTTCGTTTTCGTGACAAACCTTACAAATTGGCACACATTTATATTTACGTGATCCAACCCAAAAAAACGTATATTATGGATCATATTTACATGCCTAGTGGGCAGTATCATAAACAAAGTTTGAGTAATGGAATGGGACTTTTCTGCTCGTGTTTCCAATGTGCAGGGGTCAGCAATCTGCGGCTCTGGAGGTGCATGTGGCTCTTTAAGGACTGCTTCGTGACGTTATTTATTAAGGACCGTCTCGTATTCACGTGCATTGCGGCTCTTGAAATATTGAGTTTTTTACCGAATCCGAGAAAAAAAGGCTGTTCTTGTTAATTTCGTTGCCAACCCCTGACCATGTGGGTGGATGAAGTCAACTTCATATACATTGCAGAGGTGTATGTACAGTAAAACCTTGGATTGCGAGTAACTTGGTCTGCGAGTGTTTTGCAAGACGAGCAAAATTTTTAAATAAATATTAATTTGATAAACGAGTGAGGTCTTGCACTCACTCGTTTGTCTGCCGAGCGTCACGTGATCACAACTGATATACGAGTGCTTTGATATACGAGTGCTTTGGATTACAAACACGTTTCCGGAACAAATTATGCTCGCAATCCAAGGTTTTACTGTATATGAAACTTCTTTCACACTGTACGCAGCCAACCGTGCTAATCGGAGGTGCGGTGTAGGAGCATCTCAAACTGCCTTTAGTGGCTAGGAATCAAACTCAGGTCATCGGGTTCACAACGTACTGCACTAAACACTGCATCACCGTTCTAACCATTTTAATTTTTAATAAATAAGGCAAATACCAGTAATGCATTGAGTTAATCCCAATGACAAAACGATACTCAAGCAACAAACACTGCAGCCAACAGAAACTTGTCAAAGGTTCTGTTTTTACTTTTCCCAAAGAGGGTGCGATCACATACGCAAGTCATTGGTGTTCAATTTACACTCTCCAAAACAATATTTTCCAACGCATTTTGAGCAGTGAACACATTTAAAAGGCAGATGACAATTCAACAAGGCGAGCTCTGACGGAAGGCAACGATTAAGGAATTGACATGCAATTGCGCTATTTTCAACGTGCGGGAAAGGCGACGCATGCCCAAGAGTCACGTAAATCTTCATCTGGAGCCACGTGTCCCACACGTCAATGTCCTTGTCAGCCCTGATCTACGATGGCAGAAGCTGGGGGCTTTGACAGGGAGTTTGTCACTATCTGCAGAGGTCCGCGCTTCGAAACCGGCAGTCCGCTCTCTTAATAGTCCCTTCTGCATCACACTGGACGTAAAAACAAATCCTATGACGTCATTGAAAAAGAGGAAGCCAATGTTTATCAACGTCATGGTCCAAATTTTCCCAATTGAAAAAACTACCTGCATATTGGGGTAACACAAACCAACATCCCCTCGTACTGCGAAACTACTGCAGACAGTGTCGGTGAAACAGTGTGTCTTCAGGATAGCCGTGTGCGATAAGGATGGCGTGAATACCAAATGTTCTAATGATGCGAGTTGATTCAGTTCCACTCACACCCATGTTGTTGATGCGCATGCGGCTCAGCGTCCGTCTGTAGTAGCTGAAGTCGTTCTGTATGGCCGGGTTGGTCATCTAACCAGGGCAGTGAGCACAGGAAAAAAAATGAGACAAATAGCTCACACTGGAATTAACAAAAACATGGGATTATAATACAAATATAAGACATACAGCTAAAATTGTAAAACTAATTATTAGATACATGTAACAATGCGTAGATGAAAATCAGAATTTAGCTGACAATGAATGTGTTGAATGTGCATGTAAAAATCCACAAATTATGATTAATGCCACAATTATGCAGACCCGGGGTCAATTACATTCACAGCAGCATTGTTAGCCACAAATACAATTACTTTGTGACTCCAATTAATTATGGATGCCATGAATACAATTGTTAATGACCCCAGGTCTGCATTTAGGCTAATGGAACAAATTGTAACTGATCATATGAACCAACAATGAACATGAGACAATTTACACAAAATATAAATTATTATTATTGTATAGAACTGTGAATGGCAATCGTGGCAATTGGTCGAGTTTGTGGATGGTAAATCATCAAACACCTACAGATTATCCACAGAAGGTATTGTCCATTAAGCCTGGATAATGCTTAGATGGGTGACCACATCCCATAGCAGCCAGGACTACATTGTCAGCAGAGGTGAGTACAGTAAAACCAATTGTTACATTGTACTATGCTTCCCACTTTCACCAACCCACACTGAGCAGCATGGCGACGTATGATCAAATAAACACTACGACCTGGACGGTGTCGAAAGGCCCCCATCCTGCAGTGGATTGAGGAAAAGGGCCATACATTTAATGTAGGGTCTGTTAAACTTACATCCAATGTTCACAACCTTGTGCGTTTTAACATGCTGCCTCTCACTGAATCAACCGGCCCCGTTCCCTGGTACCTTGAGCTCGTCGAACTGCAGTGTGAAGTGCAGGATCTCTGCAAACTGCTTAGCGAGTGCCTGCTCCCGCTCCAGATGCTGCATGGACGTGAGCGGCGGGCAAGTGAGCGCCACCAGGAGGCTCTGCAGAGCGCGGTCTGACAGGAGCACACAAGACAGAGACAAAGCTCAATTCCCATGTAGACTACACAGGCTGTTCGGGCAAGTGCTGCAAGTGAACGCCTATGATGGCTGGCACGGCGTGCAAGGGTGTGGCCAACACCACGCCCATCCACATTTTTTGAACTTATTGCAGATGTCTAAACACCCACCATGGGGTACTCGTTTAAGGCTAAGTCGATGTAGGGGAAGGCCCAGGACCAGTTCAGGCATGAACCCAGGTCCCCAATTCATAGCAGTTCATTAACCACCATAACACCGCTCCCCACGTACACGCATGCACACGCACGCACACGCATAAGCACACGACCCAGCTACCACTGGGCTGGAAAACACTTGCCCAGACGCCAACTTAATAAAGTATAAAAAAGCATGCTTTTATTTGCTTTCATCATTTTGAGCAAAACCATAACAGATTATTGTGGGAGCACATACATTTGTAGCCAACCATGGTATGACTTAAGGTGCCTTAGGCTCTACATTAATGTTGAACATTGGTACAAAGACATTGTTAGACACATATCCATTTTTTCCGCTATGCTCTGACAATTATAAGAGTAAAAAATAAATCAAATACGAAATCAAGTTAGAACATTTGGCAGCTGTTTACTTTCAAGCATGAGTTTCTAAATTAAATACCTTAAATAAGATTCATACCAAACCTAAAGAACTATGTCCATATATTCAGCTGTTTCTATACTTTTTATTAAGCCAAATGACATTTCAAACAATACTAAGGTTGCTGTTTTAAAATGTCATTAGGCTTAACAAAGGCCACCGTTCACTATTGTTGGATAAGAAATTAAACTCTCCTTGATACATCCGAGTGGAGAGGTGGGTGGCACAGTGGTTAACACACTGCGTTACGAACCCGGCGAAACAAGTTTAATTCACCGTCACAGCTACAATCAGTTGAGCAATATCTAAACCAGCCCTAGACTCCCCTCCACCTTCACCCATTCCTACTGACCAGCATGGTGAAGTATGGTCATGGGGAAGCCTTCACCAGCAGTTGACTGACAAAACGGATGCAAATTACTTTTATTATTTAAATGTGTTGACACTTTAAACTCCCTAAGCTCATGCGTTGGCAAGATAAAGCACAGAGATGCACGTCACATGACCGGACGCCTCACCGAGGCGCTGGGAGAACTCGAAGAAGCGTTTGAGTTTGGATACGAGGGGGCACACGGCGTTCCACGCCTTCTCCTGGAAGATCTCATTCCCAGGGTTGGAAATCGCCTGCAAGAGCACAGACAAAACACCGCGATTGTTTCAGAATGTAGTTGTTGCACACACGCACAATGATGTCCCATGCGAGAAGTGGGACGGTGGTGGGAAAGTTAAAAGAAGTTTCTTCTTCTGTTAAACAATGCTGAAATGAAACCGTGTGTACATTCTTTTAAAGTCATACCCAGTGTCACCTATTTATTCAAGCAAGCCTCACTGATACTCAAGGGTTGTTTTTTTTTTACCAGTCCTTCCTGCATTGGGATGTTTGGCCAATTCCATTAGTGAGTGCTTTGTGTGTGTGTGAAAAAGTTACACAATGGCAATGAAAGGCCCATATACAGATCGGTTCATAACCCAACCCATAATCGACTCCAGCGATCAATCACCTCACCCGGGTCTCAAATCGTGTTCACGACATTCATGCTTGGGAAATCCCACTAATTCCTTCCGGGACAATTTTTGTTTCTAAAATTATTCGCATACAAGAGACAAAACAGTCTAAACGCCCTATGGACAAGCCTGCAAGATACTCACTGTACAGCTACAGGGACTTCACTGGGGTAAACCTACCACTAGAATATGCCAAAATGACCCTAAATGAACATGATCATCAGGATCTCTGCAGCTAAGCTGAATTAGGCCTGGTTAATACCTGGATAGGGGATACCAGGTGTAGAGATGCTCAGGCGATGGCAGCACAACGGATTATTGAAACTGTGTAGAAGTTTTGAGCGTGTGGGTTTTTTCAAAGGTACCCGAACTTCCTTGTACATGAAGGTAAACACTCATAAATAAAATTAACCAATCATCAGTCTTGAGATTCAGTGGGGATCTCCTGGATAAATAAAGTAAGTCCTCTGTAGATGCATTCCTGAAAAGTGCTATGTTAAGCAAAACACGTGTCAAGCAAAAACTATTTCCCCATAAATAATGTAACGATTAAATTTGGCGAGATACGGTGTAGACACACACAGATAGATGACTGGACTAATAACTCAGGGTACGCCGCCGTGTTGCTGTATCATTCCGCATACTGTATCATACTGCTCCGACATGCAGCTCAAGTAGTTCGTCGGTGACCACTCAGAAACCGCATCATAACGGTGCGCGTTCCATGTTATAATGGCGCAGGTTTCACATGGTGCAAAACGTGTTTCCTCATGGAAGAACCGCGTTGTAGCGAAAACGCGTTGTGTGAACACACGTTAAGCAGACACTTACCGGAAAGGACAATGTTATTATTATGGTTACGTTAAAGCAACAGGGAGTGATCAAGTTCGTTCCATAGAGGTGGTCAAGAAAGAAAAGGTGTCGGACCACCATGTTTAGGATATGGTGCTTGAGGAAATGTGGTGTGCGCGAGTGTACATCTGGGGAGTAGTGGCATGGTGGTCAGTGCACTGCACTACAAACCGCCTTAACCTGTGATCAATTCCCGTCATTAATATCAGCGACGAGTGATATCTGAACTGGTAGATTCGGCCCAAAAAAAATGCTTGGTGGGGTGTGTAAACATTAGCACTGGGGAGACAAAAGTGGCCGGGCATGTTGCAGACCTTCATAGGTACCAGCCTTTGCCACTAAAGTCTATGTAGGCTGCACAGGGGAACTTTATCTGTGTGTGCACCTCCCTGGAGTGGTAGTGCAGCGATAAGCATGCTGCACTACGAACACCAGTGACTATTATTTCAACCGGTCCTGGGCCTCCCCTAGGTCGACTTATCCTCAAATGAGTACCTGTTGCGGAGTGTAAACATCGACACGAGGGAGACAAAGGCAGCCAGGCGTGGGTATTGGCCACCCACCCCCTCGTGTGCCATGCCGGCCTTCAGAGGTGCTACTCGTGAGAGGATATTTGTCTTTGTGTGCACCTCTCGTATCTCGTTGCCAGCGCCGCAGTACTCCTGCAGCTCAGACAGCACGCTCCGTGTGCCCTGCAGCACCGACCCCACCGACATCCAAGTCTGCTGCTCATTGTCAGTCGGCTGTGCATCTGGGCAGCGGCAGCAGCAGCATGATCAACAACTTTAATTGATGAGGGCGTTTAAATGCAATTACATCTAACGATGCTATAAAAATATGATGAGACTACATTCGAGGTGAATATCAGGTTACCATGGGAGACAGCAGAGAGAGAGCAACACCCTGCCACATCCTGGGATGGCATAAGAGGGGCCCAGCACGAACAACAACAATGAGCCTCAGGGATAGCTGAGGCAGCCAGGGCAGCACCTAGAGGTCCCAGAGTATCCTCGCTGTGGGGGTGGGTTCAGGCCCTCCAAGGAGTCCCAGTGATGATAATGAGTATGACAAAGTGTCAATAATGATAACTGTTGGCAATGACGAATTATTGATGATGATGCTAATGATAATTTAATCATTATTAGCCATTGATGATCATCAGCAGCATCAACATCAGCAACAACAGCATCTTCTAAAACACGTAAAAAAGTATTTTTGACACAAGCATTAAGATCTGTGAGGGACAGCTAGATAAACAAGCATAGAGGCAATTCCCATTCTCTTATGGATCTATATGGTCACTCATTTATTTTAGAAGTTGAATTAACATCGGACCACACTCCACCAACACTTTGCAGTAAGAAACAGGACGTTTCATGCATTCTAATAACATCTATTTATTAATCATCAATTAGTAAAGCTAATTTTTTTTACATCTTCCCCCTTTTTTTACATCAGTCAGCACTCACGAATTACCACAAACTTTATCACTCGTCTTGTTTCAAACCGCTTGGGGAAATCCATGGCGAGTCGACGCGGTAAATGAAATCGAAATGTTTTCATTAAATTATAATGTAACCATCAGGATGTAGAGAACATCTGAGTCAGCTCAAGTTTCCACTGTTCAGGGCATCATGACTCATTTTGCACGGATGTGGAATTTGGGCTGAGCTCAATTTTTTGGTAATTAATGCCAAATGCATTGAACGGTAGCTACGAGGCATATCCACGACTGCAACGTAAAACCCACGTTGCTCTAACCAGGAGATGCTGTTGCGGTGTAATGGTTAGCACCCTGGGACTTGCAAACCAGAGGTGGCCAGTTCCATTTCCGGTTGCATTCGTTGAAACTCAGGCCAAGTTTCTTAAACCCCACATGCTTATGTCCACCGATAAATGTAAGATGAGGCCAATTACACTTGAGAGAGGTACCCCGGAGCTCCTCCAGCTAAGGCCCTTCTGCAAGCAGTGATTTCAGAAAGGACATTGCAGGGCTGCACCTTTGCCTTTTTACTCTAACTACGTTTATACCTTAATGGTGAAGTAAGCCAAGTATTTATCAAATCTTTACAATCGGGGGAGAGGGGTTTCATGACATTTAACTGAACTCGTATCCGCATCTCCAGTTTTCTTCAGCCTCCTACCCCCAGCCCCCGGCATTTGGCTGTACTGGTGCTCGCTTCCTCCAACTCGTGCTCGCTTTCTCCTACCCCCAGCCCCGCTCGCTGCCTAGCCCCGGCGCCGTCGTCGTGCAGCACCCCATCCCCCCTACCCCACACCCCCCACCCTCTCTATCTCTCCTCCCTGGCTCCGCCTCCCCCTCTCTCACCTATATAGCCTCTTGATACAAGCACCCCTTTTGCCCACTTCAGCAATTGTTTCTTGCTGTGGTTGTCACACCTGATGACGGACGCTTGCGCTGCGCCCGAAACGTCGTGAGACAATTTTTATTTGTATTATTTTTATTCCTACGTGACTTTTCCGAAAGAACCAAAGAGTATGAACTCAAGTCTTAATGAAACAAATTATGCACTACGTTAATTGACGGGTGGCTCCATCGCTTACTTTCAAAGTCGAGGAAGAAGTTTGGTCCCTGTTCCAGGTCAGTGCACGTCAGTACTTTAAGTAAGTTGCCCATATTGCGATCACCTGCAAAGGGCAAATGGAAATAAATTATGTAATGCTTGAGCTGCCCTTTTCAAAGCTTTCAACGAGAGACTTGGTCCGCGATATTCTCGCGAAGAAGTCAACCTTGAAGTACACGCAATGAACACAAATGACCGTGTTACAGCTACCAAACCACGACATCGTAGTATTCTGTGTTATCATATTAATGCTCAAATGAAATTGAATTGTATAGCATGAAGATCAGCATGAAGATCATGAACAGTAGTGTATGTTACCCGCAAATACCCATCTGTGAAACAAAGCGGCTATGTTTTTTTATTTTATTGTTATATTTATGCTTGTTTACCCAGTAAGAGACTCTTTTTAGCAAAGTACTGTCAGTTTTTTTGCCACCGAGCTCGATGTTGTCCTAATCGAGTAGTTTTCAGGTAATTTTTACAGCATTGGGATGTTCTGGAGAATACCAGTTACACTGTATGCTTTCATAGAGCTACGGGAGGAAACCATAAAACAGGAAACCCATGCAGAACAGAGAGGAGAACATACAAACTCCCCACAGAAAGGGCCCAGAATCAGGAATCGAACCCAGAGTCGCTTGTTAATGTGAAGCACAACTGTTACCACTGCGTCACACTGCTGCCAGAGAACCTTGTGCTATGAGAATGTCGCAAATACCAAAAGGAGTCATTATTTAAGACATTTATTCAGATACACAGGGTTCGTGTTCCCTGCAAGCCCGATCACATTACTCAGTCGAATACCCTTGTATCTACGTATTCATTTTTACTTTAGTAATTTGGCCAAATCGTCATATTTGTTTTATTTCATATTTTTGGTACGTGACAATTGTGCCAATGGAGTCAGGTCGCGAGGCAAAGGCATGCATTCCAGACTTATGGCAGCAGAACTAAATCTTCACAAAGGGAACAACCATAGATGAATAATGCCTGGTGACTCCTCAATGAATCTCTCTCACCCAGACACCAGACAGCGCTTCATCTCTCGCTATTTTTACTGAAGACTTTGCAAAACACATGCATTACCTGTCAAAATGAAAAAAAACCTGGTCGAAACCATCAACTTGCTACACCAGGATTCATACTTTGGATCTCAGCGGTGTGGGCTCAAAGCTCACACAAGACCATGTTGAGCCCCATTAGCCACATGACTATCTTGACAAAGCGTTTCCATTAGAGAACATAATGCGGTCTTTTTATTTGATGAAGTAGCACTAATTAAAAAAAGACGAGCTGCCTAGCAAACATCAAGCAACATATTCATATTTACTATAACTTTACAGATAACTGTAAATAACAATTTACAGCCCTTTGTAAAATCCACTGCTGGATAAAGATCTCTCCAGACCATGTCAACCATGGGAGTTGATTGACAAAACTTCACCATGCTGGAAGGGAACATCGATTTCGGATCATTCATTACAACAAAGTGAGCCTTTTTTTTGTTCATTCCCTTTAAGCACAGCTGAGAGCTCAGCGGAGCATCGGTTATCTCTGCAAGTGAAAGCTGTCACGATAAACAATGGTGAATAAAAAAACATAATAACAATTCACCATTAAAAAATTAGAACAGGTTTTTTTCCATTTCTGGCCATAAAACCTATTCTGATTTTTTCATACTTTAAAACTGGCAAAAAAGTCCCATTTTAAAGGTCCCATTTTAATAATTAGCTATGGCTGGGGACCAACTCGAGTTGCCAGGTTCACAATGCAGTGTGCTATCCGCTGCGCCACTACTCACAGTGCACTCTACACAATGTTACACTGTACATCAATATGGCAAACACGAGACGAAGCTGCTCATAGGCACCCATAGACTAGAATCTGATGGTCAAGACATGTCACTTCCTTCTAAGCACTTCCCAAACAGAATTTCCGGTTTCAACACAAACTCTTGCCAAGACTTTTACATTCAAGGAAATGAAAGCCTAAAACAAAATAATAATTACATTCATAATAAACGTTTTTGGGTTAGATCGCGTTATTTATAAATGTGTCGTAACCCTCCACCACCCGACACGGCCAATCAGTAAAAAAGTGTCACGTTGACAAAAGACAAATAGTTCACTACTTTAGCCTACCGGTGTGTTGAAGAGTGAATCAACAACATTTACAAATTTATTTTTTTTACTCAAAAATTGTAAATGTTGTGGATTCACTCTTCAACACACCGGTGGGCTAAAGTAGTGAATTATTTGTCTTTTGTCAACGTGACACTTCTTTTTGCTGATTGGCCATGTCGGGTGGTGGAGGGTTACGACACATTTATAAATAATGCGATCTAACCCAAAACCCTTCATTATGAATATTGGTCGCGAAAGCCCACGTGTATAACTACATTGTATCAAAAATATCTCCTGCCTTAAACTAAACGCCACGGTCATATCAGTACAATATCCCCAATCTGTGTAAAAACAATCAATTGCGTCTACTTTTTGAACAGATAATGTTACATTTCACCTTACCCAATGGCAAGCTATCAGTTTTGTTATTAATACTCCCCAGCATTATAAATGATGGTATCACGTTTGAAAGCAGATTAAAGCATTCGTACTGGAACGGGGTGGAGTGGTAGCACGGTGGTAAGAGCACAGGACAATAAAATCAACCCATTGAGTTTGATTCCTGGCCATGGCTAACATCTGTGGCTAGTGATATATTAAATGGTCCTCGGCACTACCCTTCACAAACCCGCAAAAGCCCTGCATCGTTAAGTATGGCCAAACAAGCACCAAGGCTGAATGATAGGGAAGGCCTTAGTCCAGCATTTGGTTGAAAAAAATTCTGTAATTCAAGATTTAATTTCAATTTACATACTAAGAGGACAAGACTCACATGGAATTCACCCTGTTCATGATGAGTGGTTCAGAACTGATAAAGTGAGCTTACCCGAATGCTTAAAAATGTGGAGGTCCTGTTCAACGCTTCGGGCTCATTCGAATTGAACAATTTGCTCAATGACCACTCGGATAACCTGGGAATAAAAGAGCGAAAAAGTTATCAACACCATCCAACTTTTTCATCTTTTTCCGGTACCCATAGTCCCCCAAATGAGCACACTCTTGTGGTAAAATTGAGACATCTTCCATATTGGTTCTCATTATAGAACACACATTAAAAAAAATGGCATTTCATCATGGCAGTGTAGATGGTATAGGCAAAAGCAACATTCACAAGCTTCCTCATATGCCACCAACCGACCACAGCACAGTGCCCGACATTGGCGTGCACGTCACAAATTATTCAGCCATCGGGCTGGCACAATTTAAATTCAAACGCAGCATACAGCCACCGTCCATCCACGCTACACCAAGCTACCTTTTCGCCAAGAGGTGACGAGTTTTATCGGCACACCGTCGTGCAGCAGCAAAAAGGGGGAAATCGGGCGAAACACGCATGGTTCTCACCACATTTCCCATCAGCCACTGGGGCTTCCCTGAGAGGGGCGATCGGCCCTTTTAAGGGCAGATGCGGTGTGGCCACACTTCCTCCTGGCACTGTGCTCACGTGGCTGCCCTCTTACAGCCCCAGTGAGGACATTATTTTTTTCCACAATTAAAAAATATCACCCTGCAGGAAACTTGAGTTTTATTGTAAAAACATATTTTCAGGGTGATCCCGGTAACAGCACCACCGCCACGTCAATTAATTAGCTTTTCTCGCAATCAAACTACTTTTATTTCAACACAATACAGGCACAATGGGCTCTTCCCGGTCTACAATTTAACGTTTTACACCGATTCACACTCGCACTGTTTGGTATAAACATGCATCTTCGAGTTATATTATGAATAAAAATGACAAATTGCTTCAAGTAATTTGTCTCAGTTCTTTTTTTATTGCGTGTGGGCGGAGGTAGGAGTATTTGTGAACAAACCCATTAAGTTGTCAAGTGGAACTACCCTAATCAAAATAGATGAGGCAGCGCACCCAAGAAAATAAGTGGCAATCTACGATGGTAGTGTCTCTGGTGTGGCTGCGGGGGCGATGTAAACCAATTTAATTCAGCATACTTGAATCAAAAATAACTTATTTTTACATATCTGATTTATTGCATGTATTGTTAATGTAATAATCAATTTTAATTGATTAATCAATGCATTGTAAAACACCTTATAACATTCCCTCATGGAAACTGCCTTGGCACTCCACATAATTAAATTAATCAAATGTACATTTAACCACGTGTCGTCAGAAAATGACAAAGTAATGTAAAAACATCACAGAGCTTCATACAGGATGCTGTGGCTGTTTTAAGTTCTGAGCGTGTAAAATCACTTTTATTTGCTTTGCAATACTGTAGAAGAAGTATCTTTAAGTACAACAAATGTTGTACACCGATTAGCACGGTTGGCTTCGTACGGTGGGAAAGAAGTTCAGCATACATACACACAAATGTAACCTAAGATGGAAGTGCATTTTTTAGGTTGATAATTGGAAATCCAACATAGGAATGATCTCGGAACTACAATTTAACAGAGACTTTACTGGAAATTAATGTGAAATTAACCCCAACTACCCTAAACCACAGTGCAGGAGCAGCCGCACACTTTCAATTCCCGCTTCCTATTACTCAACGCAAGAAAAATTGCATCTGGTTTCAGTACCTCCACCTTCTGTATATCCTTTTCCAAAAATAGGTCCAAGGGCAGAGTACAAAGTGTATTCAAATACAGTATATATAAATTCTTAAAATCAATTTAAATTATCCAATAATGAAGCCGATTACAGTTTATGTAATATATCTCCATTCAGCCAGTGAGACATCTGGTAAGGCTTATGCAAAATCCTAGAGCAACAAAATGTTACTGGCATCGAGAACTATAAAAATCTAATAATAATCACCTTAGCATGGTATATAGTGATGATGAAATAATAAGGCGTACAGAGTGCAGGTTTTAGTGCTTGTTGGGAAGCTGAATTTGAAAATGAAAAGGAACATACCAACGTCCCGAACGAAGAAAGTTTTTATTCACGGCGTACAATGTCCTATGACACATATGGCTCAGAAACATGGTCATAACCACAAAAAAATGGAACAAAAAAATAAAAGTGCACATAGAAGCATACTTGGAAGAACGCTGAGAGACATAACAAGAAACATTTGGATTAGAGGTCATACGCAGTTTTAAAGATAATTGAAATTGTTAAGAAATGTTAGTTGGTTTGGGCAGTACATGGTGCGAGAAGGGATGATGGCCGATAGTGAAGAATGAATGAGTGGCAGCCAACGAATGGAATACATTTGAGAGGATGTCCGCCAAGGATATGGGGCAATGAAAATAGCTCGTGGATTATTCCATCACAGGATCGCAATATATGGTGGTGGGTTGGGAAGGCCTTCATCCAGCAGTGGATTGACAATGTCTGATGATGATAATAATATGCTGTGACGTGAGCGGGAGAGCAGTGGTGCAGTGGGTAACACACTGCCCGATGAAACCGGCAACCCAAGTTAAATTTCAAGTCACAGCTAACATCAGTGGCGAGTGGTACCTAAATAATTCCTGGATACCCATCTTCACCAATCCACACTGACCACCATGAAGTATGGTCAAGAAAACTCCCACAAAACAAAAAGTAAAAACATGACAAAAATCAATTATTGAAATTACAGTAATTGCATTACAACCTCTGGATGGTCCCAAACAAATGTATAAGAGCTTTGGACCCTTATGTACACGTTTTAGATGCTAAAAACATGACATATAGAGAGAATATTCAAAGGTCAGTGATTTCCTGCTCAATGACCATTGAGACGGTGTTCATGTCCTTTTCACAAACCTGAGCCAGTGATGGAAATTCCCCATTCTTATGGCAGGGGGCAAGTCTAGCCATAGGACAACCACTCTTGACTTCCCAGCAAAGTGGCATTCATTTTATCGACCCCAGAGGGATGATGGGCTGAGTCAACCCCCAACCAGGATTTGAACTCGAAACCTTCAGACTGAAATCCACTCATTCTCCTAAGCCAACAAACCAGATTTATTTTGGAAAACTGACATTAATAGTGAAAAGCAAGCGATCTAAAGAACTGTAATACAGGTACAGTATTATTACCATGCCGTGATATATGGACTTGAACTTGGACATTGATATTGAGTTTATGGAATAAGCCCAAAAGTGTGTAAATCGAAGCAAGGAGGAAAAAATGTGTATGATGGATTAAACATAATACGTATGTTTACAGACACCAAATTTACACGAAAAAATGAAGTGGGCTTTGGCAGCATACGTCACTTGGAAGTATAATATCCAGTGGTCATGATTAACAATGGAGGAATTTTACCCAAGAATGTCCAACAAGTAATATAATTATTACCATTAAGTGACAATGACTGGGTGACGTAAAATAAACAGCACTGACAATGCTGTTGGGTAAGCTAAAAGCACTGTATATTGCACTACTAAAATAGCTTGGCATTGTAGCAGTCAACCACAAAACTTGCCAACAGGTTACCAAGAGATATTATCAATTAAACAATCTTTGCATCCGCTCGAATGGGGGATCAATGGAAATAACCTACCAGCCCTCTGGTTGATGCTGCTTTTAATAATAGCAATACGATCAGCAGTTGGTTCTAATCGTTCATGTAAGGGGTTTGCCGAAAGGGTCCAGCTAAGGGCTGAACCTGTAGCATTAAACTGCAATTATTAATGTAATTATACGACCAAAATTACCTGAAAAGCCCCGATCTCATCAATTCGTGGAAACTAAGCAGATCTGAGCCTTGATCGTGCTTGTATGGGCGACCACCATGCATAACAAGTGTTATAGGCTCTGGGGCTACATTGTGGGCTGTACTGCTATGCCAACACATTATGTCCCTGGGCCTTCACCAACAGGGTGAAGTTTGGTCAGAACCCCCACGACCCGGACAACATAGGAAGGCCCTCATTTAGAAGTGGATCACCAAAAGGGCTGTACATGTACCTCTACATCACCTAAACATAGTCTAAAGTGGGTTTATATTAAGGTTGGGTTGGCATTAATGTGTACAATATTTGTAAATAGCTGCCGCACTCTTCCTATAACCTGTTTCTTACCAATGTGGGCTGCAGAGTTCATGTTGCCTCTTGCCTGTGGCATCCAGGCATCGCCACATGCTATGGAATTTGTATTACCAGCAATGGCTTGCTTTATGATGACTGCTAAGAGCAAAAACCCATTGGTGGTTTCTTGTGGTGTACACCTGGAAGCAGAACATACTGACCTTGAAAGGCATTATTGGCTGAATAGTTTCCTAATCTTTCCCTTTGGCATATAAACTAGTAAACCTGACTCTCAAAGGTCACAGTGGTTGCACACTTTGCTCCTAACCCATCAACCTGAGTTTGATTTCCAGCCATGGCTAAAGTCAGTGGCAAATCGTATCTGAACCAGTTCTGGGTCCCCTCCCGACCCTTCACCAGGATGTTATGGGGAGGCCTTTCACCGATCTGTTTATTAATAAAGTGTATAGTACTATATGTTATTAAAACATTATACTACAGAGTGCAATTCAAGATTAATAAGGGGCACAAGAGGGCAGTCTTAAGTGTCAATCACGGGCGTCTACAGCCTGGATGGACCCTTCTGTGATGATGCTCCAAATTTAAAAGTGACCACGGAGAGGTCCACATTGATGTTTCCCTCCTGGGAGCCCCAAAAAAAGCCCTCACCACAGTTGCTCAAGCAGCCATATGGTGTGTGTGTGTGAGATTCACTCTAGCGTTTCAACAACAGCAGCATCAGCAGCGGGGAAAATACAGTACTGTACCGGCTTTATGACTGCATTATCACATGCCCCATAACCTTCAACGCTGCCTTAAGGAGGCACCACTATTCTTTGGACTTTGCCCGCAGCACAACTCAACGTGGAAACCTCACCAACTCTCAAGGGGGGTGTGTGGGGGGGGATACGGGTTGGGTGTGCAGTCACTCAAAATGCTCGCCTTCAAACCTCCTCGAGAGAAAGGGGGACCCACTATACGGCTAAGAATCACTCCATGTAATGACATTGGTGTTTTTGAAGCGTCGCCTTTCATGCTACCGCGTAAGCGATGACCGGCAACGTTGGCATGTGTGACCTACGCGATGTTAAAAGCACCCCAATCCCCCGCCCCATTCACAACCCTCTCCACAAAGATCCCCCCGTATAGCCTGAATGGACTGTTGTGGAAAGTGCTGTTAGCGAGCACCTATTAAGGACGCCACGGCACACGAGGGGGCGTGGGTGGCCAGCACCACGCCCGGTCGCCTTTGTCTCCCCGGTGGCGATGTTTACGCACCGCACCAGGTCCTCATTTGAGGCTGAGTCGACCTAGGGGAGGCCCAGCACCAGTTCAGATACTCGTCACACTGGTGTTGGCCGTGAGAAGGAATCGCATTTGGGTCGCCAGGTTCGTAGCGCAGCGCGCTAACCGCTGCGCCACCACTCCCCCACACACAATTGCACAAACACTCGCAGTCACTTTAGAAAAGGTCAACTTTAAAAAAAAATGTCCGTGGTTTTATGCCCGAATGTGTGCGTTAAACAGTACATTTCTACATAACGGTACAATGTAAACCGGCAGTGTAAAACGCAACAACACTCGTAGGCTGTTGCCGTATGCCGGTCAGCACATTGCACGGCGCGGAAGGCTCGCGTTACAGTTCGGGGATTTGATGAATCACACCGAGCGAGATATTTAAGCGCCGAGCAATGTGAGCATTTACGCTCCGCTGTCGCGCAACCAATTGGGTGTAATACGATGCAACATACAAATGTGTCTAAAAGAAGCAAGCCGTTCAAAAAGTGTTCACCACCTTACTGTGACATCAGGTCCAGAGGGGGGGGGGAGAAAAAAACCGAAGGACATTTTTGAGCGTGGGGAGAGTAGCGTGCTTTGCAAATACACCCGAGACAGAGAGGAAGAAATTGATTAAATAATGTCATAGCCGTCAACCCATAAGGTTAACCCGTATTCTTGTACGGGGAAATTGCGTTAAAGGAACGTGTTTTTTTTTGTCTATATGTTTGTGTTTCTCCCTTGTGATGGGACCTTGTAGGATGAACGTTGAGATTTATAAGTGGTCACGGGGTGACCAATAAGGCCTGAATTGGTCTGTAATCAGGTAGGACACTGATAAGGGGTTGACAGGTTTGCAATTGTGTAATAATACGATGCAAAATACCAACGTGCCTAAAAGAAGCAAGTCGTTCAAAAAGTGTACCACTACCTTACTGTGACATCAGGTCATGTAGAGAGAAAGAGAGAGAGTAGCGTGCTTTGAAATAACACACCGAGACAGAGAGGGGAACAAATGGATTCAAGAATGTAGGCATCGTTTAAACTGTTATGAAACGCAAGTGATCATGATGATGATGATGACCAAGGCGGTCGAGACTATATGAAGGAATGGTTGTCAAAGTAGGGAACGACGTTTACGGCGGAGATGGAGCCATAAAATAAGTTGGATGATGGATCGATAACATCAAAATACCGTGATGTGCGGAATGATGACTTTGGGGTGGCCTTCATCCAACGGTGGATAGATCACGGCTGGTGACACAACCGAGGGTTGTGAAACAATTTTGTGCTAACGTGTTTGTTTGTTTTTTTAATACGCGACAGGTTAAATCTAATCGGTGGCATTAAACTGATTTAGTTTTACTTGAACGGAACTATGTTGTCGTAACCGAGTTAATCTCCATTCGATTTCACCAAAACGTTTCAAGAGGATCAACTACTTCCTTGCGAAAGGGGGGGTTACAAAAGTAAAAGCGCGAAGTATGTGTATGATAGGTGCATGTCTTATTTATATCGGGGTGTTACCTCTGCATTTTTTTTATCTTCGTGAAATGTGGGGCTAGGGTAGCGCATAGCTTGCGTGATCAACAACATTTATCGATTAGGTCAATCCGTTGTTTTTTTTTTACCGGAACGTTCAAGAACAACCCATCTCCTTCGATGTGAGTTTCACCTCATAATTTATAACTTTCTAATTCAAAACAAGGCAGTTAAGCTGGGTTTGTTATGGCGTAGTCAAATCGGTTACACTTAAGCCCGCTTGGATGTTCACCATCCCCGTGAAAAGGGGGGCTCTGTAAACCCGTTTAGTTCACCCACTTTACACTCAAACCTTTCACCTCCAGTTGTTGCGCTCTTTAATATTTTTTAAAAACCCCACAAAGTAAGAGCCATAACATAGTCCGTTAAACACACCGCGATTAATGGTAACAATGACAATAATAACGCGTGTCCCGTTAACTCAAACCACTCGCTCACCATACCGCCAGGCCCATTACCGCCCGCGGGAAAGCCACGGCCTCGCCTAGCGCCGCTACCGGCGACGACTCAACTCACCCGGGGGAGGGGAAGAGCGAGTCCGGGCCTCCCGGTCGGTCTTCCCGCTCTTCTTAACGGGCTCGGGGTTCGTCAGCAGACGCAACGAAGCATGTCCCCAAGAACTTCCCTCCCCCTCCTCCTTCTCCTCCTTGTCGCCTTGCCCTTGCGTGCGCGCCTCAATAAATCGATAAAGAGACGCGAGGTTTGGAGGCTTTGTAATTGACTTTCTCTCTGTCTCTCTGTGTGAGTCTCTCTCTATCCCGGCCGCAAGTGCGCAATTCGCACGTGTGAGTGCACCGACTTCTCCGTTTCTCTGCCCAGCCAAGGAGGTTCTCTCGTTTAACGTGTCCGCCTCTTCCTCTCCTCTTCCCGTTATCTTTGCTGTCATCATCAGCAGCGGCTACGCCTACCTCGCCACCCCCTCCTCCACCTCTTTTGAATTTCGCTTTATTTTATTTAATTTAATTCCCGGGTAGTGAAGCCAGTTTTAAATGAAAAAAAAACACTTTTCGTTAATTGAAACAATTGAGTGATGTCAACTGCGTTGAAAGTGGTGCACAATTAACGACAACTCAAACAGCTTTGTCAATAACACTGCCGTCTTAAATGGAACACATATATTAGGCGACGTTTCGGGCAATGGCCCTTGTTCATAGCACAATTTCATTCATGTGCTATGGAGAAAGGGGGTGATTGCCGAATGATTAAGTGTGAAAATGGGTCTGTCGTTTTATTAATAGTCAGGCAGACATGGCAATTTCCCACTCGTGTTATAATGATTACGGAGCATTGCTGCAATAGGGCCCTGCAAGGTTCCTGCAATAGGTAGTGCTTTTGTATTAAAAAAAACAGCCCTGCGGTGAGATCACCGTAACAGTTGACATCGACAAGGGTCAAACGAATTTTGACGAGGGTTAACATCTTCTCCTGCACACCACGTCATCGTTTCCCGTAGTTGTTACACAGATGGCACTAATACGGTGGGGGTGGGTGGGTGGGGGAGTTGCTGGAAGATTTGCTGATTTATCCCAGGATGTTTATATTGCGCGTCGTCGCTTTAAGATGTTTCTCTGTTCATATTTTTGTTTGTTGCTGTTGCACCCGACTCGAGAGCCGCATGGCTCACAGGGCTATACCTAATACATGAAACTTGAAACCTGTGGCGAGCCTGCTCCTAGAGTACGTGCCACATGCGTCGTTGGGACCTGTGCTTGGTGGCCGGCCTCTGGATTCCGCTAATAATGCCAGATCTGGGCCACATGCTGCCCTCTCCCATGATGTACAACGTGTTCCGCCCATGGGATCCGCCTCTTCCTGAAAAATATCCGGAACATTTTCTTGACACGTGTGAGGCCTGGACCTCCAAATTGCGAAACGTAAATTCTGCAAATAAATTCCTGGGGTACTCTTTATGTTGGACCGTAGTTGCTTTGTTAAAAGTCTAACTTCCTTACTGAGAGTGCCACGAACACACATTTTAACACTAAAGTCAGTGAATGCTGTAGCTTTACTCATCCATAGTGGTTTATTTAGCCCATCAAAAACCCATATTCCTACTCACAATTCCTGTATTATTACTATATGCACGTTACTAACTACGAAGGTGGTTCAAGTTATTATCTGACTTTTGTCTCGAGAAGAGGGTTTTAATTCCAGTATGACAGCTCGCAAATTTCTCAAGACGGTCTCCATTTAAACCACAGTACTTCTGCCACAATTGCATAAGTAACCTGAATGCATTTAGCTGAGAAGTGCCAAAATCCGTCACTACCATTCTTATCTTCCCACTGAAACTCCTCAAAAGAGAACGTGCATGGGGCTCTTACCTAACTACTGCTGTTAAATAATATATGCAGTACTGTATATACAATGTAACTGGTATTGGGCAAACATCCCAATGTTGAAAAACTTCAGTACAGTACGGTACTTGAAAATTATTTAATTGGTATTACACGTGGCAACATCGCCCCCTGCTGCAAACACCTTGGCAGGATCCTCCTTGAAAAAGTTTCTGAAGACTAAGGCTTTTCCGGATAAACAAGCGTATTAACAAATCCATTGTTGACAGTACCTATGAACTGAAACCATGTAATCACCATCAGCCTGAGTCGTGTTGGTCGTTGGTTCAGCAGTGATGCTGTGATAACTCAATTCTCTCCACCTCTTGCAGTCTTTTGCCATCTGCACGTCTGCTGCTTACCTCCCTGTTCACTATCCAGCTAGTTCTTGGCTTGCCTCTATTGCTCGCCCCTTTGACTAGGCCCTCCCTGTAGAATGGCGTCGGAATATTTATGGAGGGCCAAGACAAAACAGCATGGAATGTACTGTAAAGCGCACTGACAGTGAGATACACGAACTGTTATGCTGCAAGGCATCGTGAAGAACCACCACGTGGCCCTCCCTGCATGCCCTCCCTGCATGCCCTCTGTTGGGCGCGTATTCGTGGGTGCAACATTGTGCACAACCAAATTATTTTCCACCGATTTAGCGAAGGTGAAAGAGTAACCAACTTTTTTAATTCATGGGCGTAAAAGCAACATGTCAGCTCTATAGCTGTCTCACACTTTCAGACACTACAAATGTAATCTAAGCCGAGGTTATTCCATGCTTCGAGTTGTGCCGAGATTACTGTGCGCATCCTTCTAAGAAACGGGTGAGCCATCTGTGCAAAAAAGGTGCTCAGTCGAAAGGCTAACGTCCTTCTCAGCCCTTGACAATCCCCATCACATGAGAAAATGTATCTGTGGAGGCCACCATCATCAGCCATGATCAATTCACTGCTGGATTAAGGC